ATTGGCAAGCTCGGAGGACCTCGAGACGATACTCGAGACCCCGACATGGCTCATTACACACCTTCAGTTGTGGACCGAGGACGGGAATCTGTCCCAGGGCCCCCCCCCCCGACACTTCGTCTCTCACCGTTCAAACAGATGCGTCACTCTCCGGCTGGGGAGGCGTTCTGAACGACCACACTGCATCGGGACTATGGTCCCAGCAAGTGATCTCACTGCACATCAATGTGCTGGAACTGAGAGCGGTCAGGTAGGTGTTCCAACGCTTCTAGGATATGCTTCGGAGCCATGTGGTTCGTCTAGAGATGGACAACCAAACGGCGATGACTTACATCCAGAAGCAGGGGGGGAACGGTGGCTACGTCACTCCTCCAAGAGACGTGGCAGTTCCTCCTGTGGTGCGATACTCACGACATCAGGGTGATACCTGTTTATCTCCCGGGGGTAGACAACGTCCACGCGGACGCTCTGTCTCGCCGGATCGTCGCTCCTCACAAGTGGAGGCTCGACCCGGGGATATTCGGGGTTATCTCCTGGTTGTACAGGTCATTCCAGGTGGATCTGTTTGCGTCTGGGGAACCACCAGATACCAACGTTCTGCTTCCGAGTCCCCGACCCGAGGTTGGTGGCACCGGACGCCTTCCAGCTAGATTGGACGGACGGAGTTCTGTGGGCCTTCCCACCAGTTCCTCTGATTTCCAGGGTCCCATCTCAGCTAGGCACTCAGCCTGCGTGACTACTTGTGCTACTTGCACCTCTTTGGTCGGCGCAGAGTTGGTTTCCCGTAATTCTCAGGTTTCTGGCTCAGCCTCCTGTTCTATTACCTTTACGACCAGACCTCCTATCCCAGAACGGGGCCCTCCACCCGAATTCCAGGATTCAGTGGGTGGCTTGGCCACTGTCAGGAATCGCCTCCAGACACAATACTGGCTTCGCGGAAGGATTCGACAAATGTTCAGTATGAGGATAGATGGGCCTGCTATGCGCGATGGTGTGTCGATAGGGGGGTTGCAGATCCCTTTTCTGCAGATCTAGTAGCTGTCCTGGAGTTCCTCCAGTCGCGACTGGATGACGGCTTGGCCGCATCGACAGTCAGGGGGTACTCCACGGCTATTGCAGCCTTTCACGTACCTATCAACGGGGCACTTCTGGGTGCGCACCCTTTAGTGCAGCGCTTTCTAGCAGGTGTGGACAGGATCCGACCGACTGTCTGGCGGATCAGTCCCCCTTGGGACTTGTCAATCGTTGATTGGCTGTCCGGTCCTTCCTTTCGGGATCTATCGTCTGTTGAGCTGGAAGGCGGCGTTCCTTGACGCATTCACGCAATGTCCGCCGATCCCGAGCTGACCATCTTTCACCAGGACAGAGTCAGTATTCGCCTACCGAACTTGTTTTTTAGTGTGGTAATATTTTATTAGGAACAAAATAGTTACAACATGTCATGTAGATTTTCTGCAGCCTGGAAAATGCAATAAGTGCCTCAAGGAGGATATCATCAGAGAATTCATAACCTCTACAAGTTTGTAAAAATTTAATCACAAATGCTAAAATATCGTTGATAGCAATAGTTATTTGAATACGTTTTTCATCTGTACTTAATTATTGACCATAAAAAAATATGATCGTCACAGAAAGCAAAATGGCGGTCAATCAAGATTCAATATACGACTAGCTACTGAAAACAATAAAATCTGCAAATCCTCATTGTATGTCAACCAAGTGAAAGTCGTTAGCCACGACTTACAAAATGATCGTCCAGACTTTGAGGGTTTGGCAGATCCGCTCGACTGATCTGCATCGGTGACTGGCTGTCGTCACGCTGTCGCTTCTTGTCTGAGGTTACATATCGTAGCATTGTGAGGATAATGAGGTACATCGATGAAGCAAGGTATTTGTACAGTTGTAGACACCTTTCACTCAAATTAACAAGATGTTCTCAGTAATTAATCCTCGATTAATCAGTGTCAACTCAGTTTATTGCCTATTACAGTGATTGACCGATTGGACTATCATGTAGGTACGATGTATTTACAGCAATAAAAAAAAACAAAGCTTGTCAGTGTAGATAATCTTTATTGTGTTACAACTGCAGACAGAAACTGCTCAGTCCTAACTGTTGATCATGTCCGGTCAAAATTTGTTCAGTAAGCAATATTTTAAACTGGACATTTGAGATTCCCAGTCGGACATGTCCGGCTCATATGACGGTTTCCGGACCCCTGCCCATCACACATCTGTCGTACACCCGTCACACACCCATCATACACCTGTCGTACACCCATGACACACCCGTCGTACACCCATCACGTACCCGTCGTACACCCATCACACACCTGTCATACACCCTTCATACACCTGTCGTACACTAATCACACACACGTCACACACCCCTCATAACCCGTCACACACCCGTCATACACCTGTTGTTCACCATCACACACCAATCATACACCCATCACACACCCGTCATACACCCACAACACACCCATCATACACCTGTCACACACCCATCATACACCTGTCACACACCCGTCACACACCTGTCATACACTGTCACACACCTGTCACACACCCATCACACACCTGTCATACATCCGTCACACACCTGTCATACACTGTGTCACACCTGTCACACACCCGTCACACACCTGTCATACATCCGTCACACACCTGTCATACACTGTCACACACCTGTCACACACCCGTCACACACCTGTCACACACCCGTCACACACCCGTCACAAACCCGTCATACCCATGACACACATGTCTTACACCCATGACACACCCGTAGTACACCCACAACACACCCATTATACACCCGTCCCACACCCTGGTCATACAGACATAGCCCTGTCACACCCCGGTCATACAAACATATCCCTGTCACACCCTGGGCATACAAACATAGCCCTGTCACACCCCGGTCATACAAACATATCCCTGTCACACCCTGGGCATACAAACATAGCCCTGTCACACCCTGGTCATACAGACATAGCCCTGTCACACCCCGGTCATACAAACATATCCCTGTCACACCCTGGTCATACAGACATAGCCCTGTCACACCCTGGTCATACAGACATAGCCCTGTCACATCCCTGTCATACAGACATAGCCCTGTCACACCCTGGTCATACAGACATAGCCCTGTCACACCCCGGTCATACAAACATATCCCTGTCACACCCTGGGCATACAAACATATCCCTGTCACACCCTGGGCATACAGACATAGCCCTGTCACACCGTGGTCACACAGACATAGCCCTGTCACACCCTGGTCATACAGACATATACCTGTCACACCCCTGTCATACAGACATAGCCCTGTCATACCCCGGTCATACAGACATATCCCTGTCACACCCTGGTCATACAGACATAGCCCTGTCACACCCCGGTCATACAGACATAGCCCTGTCACACCCCGGTCATACAGAAATAGCCCTGTCACACCCTGGTCATACAGACATAGCCCTGTCACACCCTGGTCATACAATTATATCCCTGTCACACCCCGGTCATACAGACATATCCCTGTCACACCCTAGTCATACAAACATAGCCCTGTCACACCCTGGTCATACAGACATAGCCCTGTCACATCCTGGTCATACAGACATAGCCCTGTCACACCCTGGTCATACAAACATAGCCCTGTCACACCCTGGTCAAACAGACATAGCCCTGTCACACCCTGGTCATACAGACATAGCCCTGTCACACCCCTGTCATACAGACATAGCCCTGTCACACCCTGGTCATACAGACATAGCCCTGTCACACCCTGGTCATACAAACATAGCCCTGTCACACCCTGGTCATACAGACATAGCCCTGTCACACCCCGGTCATACAGACATAGCCCTGTCACACGCCGGTCATACAGACATAGCCCTGTCACACCCTGGTCATACAGACATAGCCCTGTCACACCCTGGTCATACAAACATAGCCCTGTCACACCCCTGTCATACAGACATAGCCCTGTCACACCCTGGTCATACAGACATATCCCTGTCACACCCCGGTCATACAGACATAGCCCTGTCACACGCCGGTCATACAGACATAGCCCTGTCACACCCTGGTCATACAGACATAGCCCTGTCACACCCTGGTCATACAGACATAGCCCTGTCACACGCCGGGCATACAGACATAGCCCTGTCACACCGTGGTCATACAGACATAGCCCTGTCACACCCTGGTCATACAGACATAGCCCTGTCACACGCCGGGCATACAGACATAGCCCTGTCACACCGTGGTCATACAGACATAGCCCTGTCACTCGTGGTCATACAGACATAGCCCTGTCACATGCCGGGCATACAGACATAGCCCTGTCACACCCTGGTCATACAGACATAGCCCTGTCACACCCTGGTCATACAGACATAGCCCTGTCACACCCTGGTCATACAAACATATCCCTGTCACACCCTGGTCATACAGACATAGCCCTGTCACAACAGTCATACAGACATATACCTGTCACACCCCAGTCATACAGACATAGCCCTGTCACACCCTGGTCATACAGACATAGCCCTGTCACACCCTGGTCATACAGACATAGCCCTGTCACACCCTGGTCATACAAACATATCCCTGTCACACCCTGGTCATACAGACATATCCCTGTCACACCACGGTCATACAGACATATCCCTGTCACAACCTGGTCATACAGACATAGCCCGGTCATACAAACATAGCCCTCTCACACCCTGGTCATACAAACATATCCCTGTCACAACCTGGTCATACAGACATATCCCTGTCACACCCCGGTCATACAGACATAGCCCTGTCACACCCTGGTCGTACAGACATAGCCCTGTCACACCCTGGCCATACAGACATAGCCCTGTCACACTGTGGTCATACAGACATATCCCTGTCACATCCGGTCATACAGACATATACCTGTCACACCCTGGTCATACAGACATAGCCCTGTCACACACCCGTGTTTCTTTTGACTGCAGCTTGGACGTCCGGATACCGCAGCCTCAGTCTGCACCATGAGAAGCTGGTTGTGTACAGCTGTCTACTGAAGGAGAAGTCCAGTCACAGCAGCATGGCCCAGGTCAGTTACAGCATGGCCCAGGTCAGTTACAGCATGGCCCAGGTCAGTTACAGCATGGCCCAGGTCAGTTAGAGCAGCATGGCCTAGGTCAGTTACAGCATGGCCCAGGTCAGTTAGAGCAGCATGGCCCAGGTCAGTTAGAGCAGCATGGCCCAGGTCAGTAACAGCATGGCCCAGGGTCAGTCACAGCATTGCCTAGGTCAGTTACAGCATGGCCCAGGTCAGTTAGAGCAGCATGGCCCAGGTCAGTTAGAGCAGCATGGCCCAGGTCAGTTACAGCATGGCCCAGGGTCAGTCACAGCATGGCCCAGGTCAGTTACAGCATGGCCCAGGTCAGTTAGAGCAGCATGGCCCAGGTCAGTTACAGCATGGCCCAGGGTCAGTCACAGCATGGCCTAGGTCAGTTACAGCATGGCCCAGGGTCAGTCACAGCATGGCCTAGGTCAGTTACAGCATGGCCCAGGTCAGTTACAGCATGGCCCAGGTCAGTTACAGCATGGCCCAGGTCAGTCACAGCATGGCCCAGGTCAGTCACAGCATGGCCCAGGGTCAGTTACAGCATGGCCCAGGTCAGTTACAGCATGGCTCATGGCATGGTGGGGGGTGGGGGGTGGGGGGGATGTTTCACTCAGGACCGAGTTTTGTGCATCAGGAACAATTAATGCCTTTGATTTGGACTACTCAAATGTTTTCTTTAACATTGGATCACTTGAACTGACCATGTGGATTAATCCATATTCAGTTGTGACCTGGAGCCCCTTGTTTAAGTGAGATGTGGTTTGTTCAGATCCTGTCTGCGATGTCGACGGAGTGCAGCAGCAGCAGCAGTCAACAGCCACAGAAAGTCAGCATCAGCAGCTACTTCCACAGAGTTGTCCCCCCTGGCGGCACACCAGCCAAGTCATCACAGTCCAGTGCTTCAACACCAGGTGGCCCTAGGTCCCCCCCAGCATGCACCACAGGCCAGGATGATGTGGCAACAGCCCTGCCCTCCGACACACGCAAGAGAAAACTAAAAAGCATGTATGCTACTGCATGTTAGGAAGAATCAGGGTTGAGGATTAGTCAGTGGGTGATCTTTAGAAAACTGGGTTGAAAGGTTGTGTTATTTTCATCGTTTTAATTAAGGGAATAAACCCTCTAGGGTCAATATAGATTCCCAGGATCTCGTGCTTGTCATAAACGTGGGTTGTTGGTAATGCCACACTCAGCAATATTTGGGTATAAAAATAGTCATGACCAGACAATCCAGTGACTAATGCTATTAGCAACATCCAACACCATTGGGATACAATGACACAAGGTCAACGAACCTAAGCAATATGTCAATATCTGACTCATATGACAATTTGCTGGAGACCTAGTCTCCCCAGAATGCTGACTGATGGGGAGCAATGAGAACTGAGGAATGGGTGCAGGCTTCCGGATCAGTTAATATTCTCGGGCATTAACTTATTGTTATTCAATGTTGAAATTTGGGGACTAAAATGTGTGGAATTACAGCATCAAATTCTCATTCACTACTATTGCTGACCCGTGAAGATCCGGGGTAGAATAGGTTTTCAGCAACCCATGCTTGCCGTAAAAGGCGACTATGCTTGTCGTAAAAGCCGACTTGCGGGATCGGGTGGTCAGGCTTGCTGATTTGGTTGATGCATGTCATCAATCCCAATTGTGTCGATCAGTGCTCATGATGTCAATCACTAGATTGTCTGGTCCAGACTCAATTACAGTCGCCATCATATAGCTGGAATGTTAGCTGATTGAGGCATTAAACAACAAACAAACATTACTATTGCTACAGTCTACTCATTCTTTAAATCCTGCAGATTCTGTTTTACACATAATGGCCCTTTCATACTTTGTCCCTTGGCTGATTTCTTTGTGATATATATATATATATATATATATATATATATATATATATATATATATATATATATATAGTTTTTGCTCTTTCCAGAATCAAGCGAAGCGGACCCAAATTGTCGAAGAAAGCTAAGAAAATGAAGACGCTGAAAGACATTTTGAAGCCAGGAATCCCTTTAGAGTGTGCTGGAGGTAGTCTGGAGGACAATGTTACAGGTGACAGTGAATTCAGCAGAATGTCATTCTTCGGAGATTTACCTGAAGCAGATTGTCCAACTGTGGATGATAATAATACTCAACCAGATCCAAGACGTGAAATTATTGACAGAATTAAAGCAAACGCTACAGAACCAAAAGACTGCTCAGAAATAGAAATGTGTACAAGATCAGAAAGTTACAAAAACCTGGATTTGTTTTCAGAAGATTCCCATAAGAAATGCAAAGTGACATCTGTGTGTGGTGACAACGACAATGTTCAGATCAATTCAAGTAACCATGGTAACCGATCATATGGCTCGGAGGACATGTTTATGGAACACTGTGATGAAGAAACAGAGGATGAAGTAAACATCACTGAACTGAAGAAAGCTGAATCTGAATATCATACTGCAAAGGAGAAGATGGACTCTGCAATCTGTAAGCCTGTGTGTAGTCCACCACGTCCACAATATGACGTAACATATGACTCGGAGGGTAGTGATTGTTGTATGATGCCAGAGATTTCTTTACAGAGTGAACAAGTTCAAGTGTCTGTTACAGATCACATTCCTCACTCAAGATCTGAACCTATATTTAAAGGTTCAGGGTTTAAACATTTGAGAATGGATTTCATTCAAAGAAGGCTTACTGTAGGCTCGAATGAGACCTTACCATCAGCAAGTTTTATACATGAGTTTGACCCCGATACTCCCGATGTGAAGTCAGGAAGAGTGGTGGCAGAAGGAAATGGTGATGAAGGCTGTACCAAGAGAAACAGAAACGTGGAAATGGAGGGTACTGTGTCCGATAAAATAGATTGTGAAGTCTTGCCGCAGATAACTTTGAAGAAGCGAGACCGAAGCTGGAGAAAATCCTTGGCGCTGTTGATGAAAGAGAAGGACAGTCCCCAAGAAGTTGAGAAGGAAGTGATTGACTGTGATACCATCGACTGTGATCTGATCGAGGTGCTGGAGGAACTCCCAAGGCATCCCATGATCCTCACAGAGGACCTGAGACAGGAGCTGAGTCGAGTCAGGTACAAAGCGTGCTTCCCTCCTTGCTCCACATACATATACCAGTCTGTTCCAGGTTCCATGCTCAGATACCAATGGTTATGTGTTCCTCACAGTCTGTTCCATGTTCAATGCACAGATACCAACAGTTATGTGTTTCTCGCAGTCTGTTCCAGGTTCCGTGCTCAGATACCTATAGTTATGTGTTCCTCGCAGTCTGTTCCATGTTCAATGCACAGATACCAATAGTTATGTGTTCCTCGCAGTCTGTTCCATGTTCCATGCACAGATACCTATAGTTATGTGTTCCTTACAGTCTGTTCGATGTTCCATGCACAGATACCTATAGTTATGTGTTCCTCACAGTCTGTTCCATGTTCAATGCACAGATACCAACAGTTATGTGTTCCTCACAGTCTGTTCCATGTTCAATGCACAGATACCTATAGTTATGTGTTCCTCCATGTTCAATGCACAGATACCAACCGTTATGTGTTCCTCACAGTCTGTTCGAGTCAGGTACAAAGCGTGCTTCCCTCCTTGCTCCACATACATATACCAGTCTGTTCCATGTTCAATGCACAGATACCAATAGTTATGTGTTCCTCGCAGTCTGTTCCATGTTCAATGCACAGATACCAATAGTTATGTGTTCCTCGCAGTCTGTTCCATGTTCCATGCACAGATACCAATAGTTATGTGTTCCTCACAGTCTGTTCCATGTTCAATGCACAGATACCAATAGTTATGTGTTCCTCGCAGTCTGTTCCATGTTCAATGCACAGATATCAACAGTAATGTGTTCCTCACAGTCTGTTCCATGTTCAATGCACAGATATCAACAGTAATGTGTTCCTCACAGTCTGTTCCATGTTCAATGTACAGATACCTATAGTTATGTGTTCCTCACAGTCTGTTCCATGTTCAATGCACAGATACCTATAGTTATGTGTTCCTCACAGTCTGTTCCATGTTCAATGCACAGATACCTATAGTTATGTGTTCCTCCATGTTCAATGCACAGATACCAACCGTTATGTGTTCCTCACAGTCTGTTCCATGTTCAATGCACAGATACCAATAGTTATGTGTTCCTCGCAGTCTGTTCCATGTTCAATGCACAGATATCAACAGTAATGTGTTCCTCACAGTCTGTTCCATGTTCAATGCACAGATATCAACAGTAATGTGTTCCTCACAGTCTGTTCCATGTTCCATGTACAGATACCTATAGTTATGTGTTCCTCACAGTCTGTTCCATGTTCAATGTACAGATACCTATAGTTATGTGTTCCTCACAGTCTGTTCCATGTTCAATGCACAGATACCAATAGTTATGTGTTCCTCACAGTCTGTTCCATGTTCAATGCACAGATACCAACAGTTATGTGTTCCTCACAGTCTGTTCCATGTTGCACCTGTTGGTTTCAGGACCGAGTCGGAGCTGAGAGAGTCCCACATTCAGATGATGGTGTTTGCCAGCGAGGGCTATCTCCGATCCATCTTCACAGGCCAGGTGATGATCATTTTCCTGTGAGGTGTCGAGGCTGAATACATGGGTACTGTGAAATGGGTGTTATCAATAATTATTGTTGAAGGAGGCGGCACACTTTCTTAACTATCTAGCTCATCCTGAAATAAAATTCAATGAACATGAAGAGGTACAAAAGCATTTCCTCATGTTGGCAAACTTCAGTACAAAGGGCACATATAGACATCTGTGTGAGTGCCCTGTGGTACACTTCACACGTAAATATCTTTGTGAGTGCCCTGTGGCACACTTACACGTAAACAACCTTGTGAGTGCCCTGTGGCACACTTCACATGTAAACATCTTTGTGAGTGCCCTGTGGCACACTTACACGTAAACAACCTTGTGAGTGCCCTGTGGCACACTTCACATGTAAACATCTTTGTGAGTGCCCTGTGGCACACTTCACACGTAAACATCTTTGTGAGTGCCCTGTGACACACTTACACGTAAACATCCTTGTGAGTGCCCTGTGGCACACTTCACATGTAAACATCTTTGTGAGTGCCCAGTGGCACACTTCACACGTAAACATCTTTGTGAGTGCAACATGGCACTTGATAAAAATGCATTCCAGTCTCTGAAGACCCTGGGGTGGAATTTGTATTGACATATGTCTCTTGCTTGCAGATTCAGTGCCGAAGACATGAAGACTACAAGAGAGGTGGAATAGCCAGGTGTAAGTACACGAGACATGTAGCCAGATGTAAATATTCCCTTGAGGTAGACAATTTGCTGGGCAGAGTTGTATCCCTTAGCTGTGCCAGGATCTGTTGGTCGTTTGTTTAAATCCCAGGTTTGCCCTAGTTATGTTTCATCTGTCAGCTAAAAACCTGTTCTCCTAAGTTCACCAAAGTGAAAAACATTGTCAACCTTAGTAATAAAGAAGTTGTTCATCCATAAATTCTTATACTTAGTACTCCAACTTCTAAATGCCTATCAAAGAAGAAATTGTCAACCTACACTGGCACACTGACATGTTGTTATATGACAGTTCAAAGGGGTTTAAAGTTCAACCAACCCATCAATAGTAAGTGCTTGCTGCTTGATGCTACTTCCTGACAAGATGGAACATGGATCCAATATTACAGGTCAAATATAGGGGCAATAGTGGTGGCAATGTTGTGGTAGTGGTGGCAATGTTGTGGTAGTGGTGGCAATGTTCCGGTAGTGGTGGCAATGTTCCGGTAGTGGTGGCAATGTTTGTTGTGGTAGTGGTGACTTTGTTCTTGTAGTGGTGGCAATGTTCTGGTAGTGGTGGCAATGTTGTGGTAGTGGTGGCAATGTTGTGGTAGTGGTGGCAATGTTGTGGTAGTGGTGGCAATGTTGTGGTAGTGGTGACATTGTTCTGGTAGTATGTGGCAATGTTGTGGTAGTGGTGGCATTGTTCGGGTAGTGGTGGCATTGTTCTGGTAGTGGTGGCAATGTTGTGGTAGTGGTGGCAATGTTGTGGTAGTGGTGGCAATGTTCTGGTAGTGGTGGCAATGTTCCGGTAGTGGTGGCAATGTTCTGGTAGTGGTGGCAATGTTCCGGTAGTGGTGGCATTGTTCCGGTAGTGGTTGCATTGTTCCAGTAGTGGTGGGCGGTCAGGTAGCCTAGTGGTTAAAGCGTTCGCTCGTCACGCCGAAGACCCGAGTTCGATTCCCGACATGGGTACAATGTGTTAAGCCCGTTTCTGGTGTCCCCCGCTGTGATATTGCTGGAATATTGCTAAAAGCGGTTTAAAACCATACTCACTCACTGACTCCAGTAGTGGTGGCAATGTTCTGTTTGTGGTGGCTTTGTTCTGATAGTCATGGCAATGTTCCAGTAATCATATATTGTGTCATGTTTTGTTCCAGTGAACCTCAACTATCAGGTAAACCTCGGGATGTTCTCTGAGCCTCAGCAGGATGCTGTCATGGAAACTCTAATGGCAATATTTTGTAAACGCCATCATAAGGTATATACGCCAGAATGATTTGTATAGTCATATGCAAACAACCCACTTAAAACTCCTTTATTAATAGTGCCCAGGTCAGACAAATATATATAGGTACAATCTCATAAAATCAGATCTTTCCTCGAGTACGATACTTTCTGCATGAAGAGGTCACATCAGATGAACTTTCTAATCAGCGTTAAGGCTTTTACATTCTTGGTATGAGCGAGGAAAGCATTCAGACAAGCATATCTGATTTCTGCATCATGGAAATGGTTATTATCAGGGATTTCTGAATGCAAACAAATATAGCCATACTATAATATTGCTTTGGATGGTAGGGACTGAAATTTACAAAACGAGGCTCAAGACTGGACTGTACATGTTTTTACCCGACGCGACCTCTTACATTGTGCTATGGAGGCGTTGTCAGATTGTCATGCAGGGAGGTATAGTATCGGAGTAAACAACCTCATTTTAATGCCTGGCTTCAGATTCCTCTCCATACACTGATTTGAACTCTTTTAGCACTGTAATTACCAATCAATTGTTGCAAAGTGGCAGTTCTTGTCAGGAGGTTATTGTCCTTGTACATGTCCCAGTACCCTGTTCAGATCTAAGTGGTAACAATAGGAAGTTTGTAGATGGATGTTTTGAGCTCATTTAACTCTTGTTCTACAATTTCATTGTTTTGTTTACAGTGTCTTCTGTAATATACTACTCAAAAGAAGTTAGGGATCACCCAATTCTTTCATATTGGTAATGTTAATCTGTCATGGCATGAGAGTTTAACTATTGTAATATGAAAGAATCAGGTGATCCTTAACTTCTTTTGAGTAGTATACATTAGAAACTGCATGTAAGAGCTCCTCACCATGTTTGGCCATGTGCCGTCATTAGATATCATAGCTGTAATGGTGAGAGAGCTCCACACACTGCATGCCTCCCTCTTGTTGCAGTACATGGACTACCTCCTGAAGGTGCTGCTGCCGGAGATGATGATACGGATCCTGATGGAGGTGAAGCACACAACCTACGATGACACGGAGGCACTCATGAGTGGGGCTATCCAGTAGTGTGTAGAAACACCAGCACTCTTGTGGCCAACTGATGAGGTTCAGCCCTCTCTGCGACTCTGATGAGGGGCACTCTTGTGGCCAACTGATGAGGTTAAGCTCTCTGTGAGACTGTAGAGACTCTGATGAGGGGCACTCTTGTGGCCAACTGATGAGGTTAAGCTCTCTGTGAGACTGTAGAGACTCTGATGAGGGGCACTCTTGTGGCCAACTGATGAGGTTAAGCTTTCTGTGAGACTGTAGAGACTCTGATGAGGGGCACTCTTGTGGCCAACTGATGAGGTTAAGCTCTCTGTGAGACTGTAGCGACTCTGATGAGGGGCACTCTTGTGGCCAACTGATGAGGTTAAGCTTTCTGTGAGACTGTAGAGACTCTGATGAGGGGCACTCTTGTGGCCAACTGATGAGGTTAAGCTCTCTGTGAGACTGTAGCGACTCTGATGAGGGGCACTCTTGTGGCCAACTGATGAGGTTAAGCTCTCTGTGAGACTGTAGCGACTCTGATGAGGGGCACTCTTGTGGCCAACTGATGAGGTTAAGCTCTCTGTGAGACTGTAGCGACTCTGATGAGGGGCACTCTTGTGGCCAACTGATGAGGTTAAGCTCTCTGTGTGAGACTGTAGCGACTCTGATGAGGGGCACTCTTGTGGCCAACTGATGAGGTTAAGCTCTCTGTGAGACTGTAGCGACTCTGATGAGGGGCACTCTTGTGGCCGGGGCGGTCGGGTAGCCTAGTGGTTAAAGCGTTCGCTCGTCACGCCGAAGACCCGGGTTCGATTCCCGACATGGGTACAATGTGTGAAGCCCATTTCTGGTGTCCCCCGCCGTGATATTGCTGGAATATTGCTAAAAGCGGCGTAAAACCATACTCACTCACTCACTCACTCACTCTTGTGGCCAACTGATGAGGTAAAGCTCTCTGTGAGACTGTAGAGACTCTGATGAGTGGCATTCTTGTGGACAACTGATAGGGTCAGGCACATCTACATAATTGCGTGATGTCTTGTAGCTTCTATTAATCATTTGCCTTGGACTCCCTGATCAATACCTGTTCAGCTGAATAAATTGTTCTCCTCTGTCATCTTGTGTAACATGAACCCACTCATTGAGCATGTTGAGCAAGGAAAGTGTATGTAATCAATGAAATGAACTATTTATCATATCCTCAGATTTGAGCATAATTAAGCTCTTGTTTTTTGTCAACCATGACCAGTAAAGTGAACAATTTGAAATATTTGTGTTGGATCTTGTTTTGCAACCATTGCACAGATGAGCGTTTGTAAATGTATGTTGTAGTCAGCACTATCCTGTGCAGAAGACACTAATGAAGTAGACCTCCATTTGTAGACAACATGGATTTTAACGTGCAGATTTTGGTAGACTGCAGGATTTGCAAAGAATGAGTACTGCCAACTGGGCTTCGACAAATATTTTCATGTTCATAATCAAGGTCCTCAAGTGATTTGATGCACTTTGTGTGGTTAGACCCATTTTTATAATATAGATCTCGATTCGTCTTCACTGGTTGTCGCCATTTTGTTGAAACAAATGGCTCAATGAATCATGCCTGGAAATTCCAGCCTAGTTCAGCAAGGTTGGAAACTGGACTTTTGTAGTCTTCCCTTGCCTCGGGAAGATGGCCGCATCAACAATACTCACACAGGACACAGTTAAGAACACGTTGATTATATAAATATATTTATTTGGAATGGCATCTGTTACATCATAACAGCAATAAATATATCCTAACTTTCAAATTGACATACAGGAAATAAAGCAAAAAGTATTCGAAAACAACAAACTTGTATTTCATTTTAGCAATATAGTAGAGAATCCAAAATGAAGGCAATAATAATCTTGGAAAGTGTAGACAAAAAAAATTACTTCACAAAATCCAGATATACAATCATTCTATATCACTGTATGAAATACTCATTTTTCTCACATCGGAATCCTGGCATCTCTAAGGGATTGAACTATTACATCTTGGAATGTCTACAGTTTGGGATAACCTAACCCTCTCAAACTTCTTATCCATTAGAAACATGCTCGGTGTAGCAGGCTTGGCTGAAAATATATAATAAAATTGGGAAGGGGGACTTTTGTGTCGCTGCCTCTTCACAGCATATTACTACAGGAGGAACATTCACTTGATGGGGACTAAATACACCACCTGAACTCGGCAGCAGAAGAACAAACATAGTCGGACAAAAGAATGATGTGAAACCTAAAATTCCTTTTTTTGAAGTCTTAATTTCTTGAAAGAAATGAGAAATCCCCTTAAAAGAGGAATTTCTATATCTGTATATTCAGAAATTAGAGCTGTAAGTAATGTATCCTGCAACTGAATGTGGCTGTGTACAAGATGGAAATTCTATGTAATAGATACTCAGATCTTGTTCATGATGGACCCATCCTTGTTACTATTGTGGCACCTGTTTCAACATGTTCAAAAACTTATTAAAAGTTTTGCTTATTTATCATTTACCAATCCATTTATCTATCAGGTTCATCAACAGTCCTCCTTTCTTTCAGATAACATACTTACTTTTTTTTGTCTTTCACAATTTTTTTTCTGAACTAAACGACTTCAACATTAGAATTAGTGTCCCATGTTCACTTGCAACACAAAAGAGCTAAAAGGATCTGTAGCTCACGTGCATTTCCTGGGATACTTGTTTAGGAGAGAGAGTGAGTGAGTGAGTTGTGTTTAACACCGCTTTTTACAGTATTCCAGTGATATCACGGCGTGTCAGCTTAATGTGGGAGGAAAGCCTGAAGTGATGCAGATCTGTTTTCCATTTGGTGAAACCCACGAGCACGGGTGTGGTGCTGACAAACCTAGAAACATAATTGGGGCGAACCGGGATTCGAACCCACAATCATAGGTTTCTGGCGTGCCCAAGGGACGCAACTCTGCACAGTGAATCGCGGCGCCTTAGACGACTGAGCTACCCGTGCCCCCCTATGGCTTTGTGAGAGCCACTTGGAATTTCCTTGCTGCTGGTCATGGCAAGGGACCGGCTGATGGCATTGTTGCTGTTATAAAGAGGACAGCAGATCGACTGATTTCAAATGGTAATGATATACCTGACGCCAAATGTTTGTTTGAAAGTCTGCAGAATCACACTTCAGTGCAGATGTACTGTCACTGCAGATGACATAAAAGATGAGGAACAATATTTATCCACATCTCTGGCACCTATTCCTTGGACAATGAAAATTCACCAGTTGACAACTACAAAAAACACACGAAATAACACACTCAGTACTCGGCTGTTTTTGTTCACATTGCTTCCCTTCAACAACAGTAAATTTCCCAGGAACTGCAGTTATTACAAATCATTCCACAACACCTGTCCGAGATGAACAACAAGGACATTTGGTGCTAATTGATGACATCACATCTGATCTCCATGGAAAGTACTGTATTGTGAAATATGATGACCAGCCTTATCCAGGTATTATACAAGACTCATCTGATTCAGAGGTAGAAGTTAAAGTCATGCACCGAATCGGGGATAACCGGTTCTTTTGGCCAGGATTGGAGGATGTCCTGTGGTACGAGGTGGACAACGTTTTAACTCTTATACCGGAGCCAACACCTGTAACCAAGCGACACCAGCAGGTGGATAAACTGATATGGAAGGCTGTTCTTGACCATTTGGACCTGTAATATACATGTTCACTTAACAGTTGATAGTTTCGACAGTTGGTGTTTACTTTGAAGTCGGTTAAACATATTAGCGATGCCAAAGTAAACTCAAAGCAGTATTTTGTGGATATTACTTTTAAAGGTTCATGACGATGTTCACTTTTTATTGTTTGGAGTTATTCATTGCTGCAGTATCTTACCTAGTTCAAAACGTGTCCATGACCTTGATGATATGTTTTGTGTCCATCACTGTATTACAATATACATAATGTGATGTATAGGATTGTGATAACTTAGAGACCATAATTCAAATGCAACATCTGCAATTGTAACCATATCATAATGGTCCATAGCAAATGTGCAAAATCAGTCATTGGCTATTCAAGTTTGACTTGTCAGTATTTGGTCAATTTTAATTAAGATCAGCTGATCCATTCTTTAAATGTTTAATGTGAGAAATGTATTGATCGATTAAGGATCATTTCTGTATGTCATTACCATCACACATCCATGTAACATTAGATACTTTTATTGCTTGAACTGTGATAAATATGCTCACATGAAATCTCAAACCAGAGTAACCAGATAACCTTAGGATATATCTAGCCTTCAGGACCCTCAACTTCTTTGAAACAGCGCAAAAATTATTTTTTATGGCTTTAATCTGTCTGTATCATGGAACACTGACCAGCTCCTAGGCATTTTACATTTAAGTATATTTTTACACAACATAGGGTTGAGACTTTTCCGTAGGTAGTACCTGTCTAGCTGATATTTGCTTGCGCCTCTTATTTTTTAAATAATACGCAAAAGTATGTATGTGACGGTAATGACACAGAATTATACCCGTTCTTGGCATTTGTCATTACCATAACGTCTCCATTTAATGTGATAAAATGTAAAACTTATCAATACTCTCATGAAAAAAGAGTTACCACAGGAATCAGAGATCTTAATTTAAGTAATAGGCCTCAAGATTGTCAATATTATGTAAATATTTACAAACATGTTGTATGTGTAAGTCAGTGGTACCTACAATTTAATCAAACATCTTGTGAAACACTAGATATTCTCTGCCATGAATTTACACTTTTGTCATTTTCCTACTGAATACTGGTTGTCACTTTCTAATATATCATGCCTGTTCAATTTATACATATCAGTTGTGCCTGCTCTTAAAATAATGACAAAAATGATTTGTGTGACGGTAATGACATAGAATTTATTTTTCTGTTATTTTGAAGTTGAATAAAAAGATTAAAACCTGGTAAACTTTGTGCCTGTTTACTTTTTTAAAATCCTATTAATGTTATCTAAAACAATATACAGGGAAAAAAAGGTTTTGAAAAAAGAATTTTTCAGTTTCATCTTCTCATCAAATGTGCCACTAGTTGTGAAATCACCCATATATATATATATACGTCACAGAGAAGATTGATAGTGGGCAGCAAAACGTAATAAGAGTTGCCTCCCTTGATGCGAAGGAGCCGGCTGGCATAAGGTAGATCTATTTTTTTAAATGCTTTTTCAATAGCGCATTGTTTGATTTTAACCTGTCCTACGAAGCCTGTGAATGTTGTAAACTTATGACCAGATAGTAAAGGTCTGTTTCTTATTTAGCACGCCAGGCGTCCTCTAGACACTGATTAGATCAAGGCCCTATCAGTGTCATGATGTTTGAACTGTACGAAATCTCGCAACAAGCCTTCATGTAACCAGTGGTACAGATCGTCCAATTTTTAGGATATTTGCCTACCCATTGTCACAAATGCCCCATTGATTTTCTAGAAAGTATACAACAGTCTATGGGAATGTCCTATTGACAATTCTGAACATCAGAAATTTTCCAAGAACTGTCCTATTGCCATTTTCCTTAGCTAAGTAGATCTAACATAGCAGGTATATATATACCTGACCTTAGGTTACTTGGTTACTTAGCTACATTTCCCTACATTTCCCTCCAGCAAAACCAAGTACACATGTTCAAAGTTGATAACATTGCTTTTTGTGTGGCATTAGACATGTGAGTGTTTACAGTTCAGTAGACATTGTGCTGTTGGCTAATTTTGTGCACATAAGAAATCTATTTACCTTGGGGTAAGGAAGACAAAAATCGCATAAATTCATCATAACACACTGGATAGATCTATATAAGACAAATAATCTCAGAAATATATAAATAACTACTGGTTAATGACGTTAATACATTGCACAAGCATGTACAGCGGTGTGCCGTAACTACGGTATGTTTATGAACAAAATTGAAAATCTCATTGAACTCCATGTTATTTTAATGTGACAATTGCGTAATTATTTTCATGTTCTTAATTTTCATCGGTTTTGACTCAAACTTTGATCGTGTTGATGGGATATCATGACATAATTTTTGTGTTTTGATATGATCATTATTTACAAAATGGACAAAAATAACCAACATTTATACAATTCTTATATGACATATTCTTCAGACCTGTTGCCTGCCATGAAGTAAGATGTTCCTTATCAAAACCTAAGAAACTCCAATATGACTTCCATCTTCTAAATGAAAATATCACCTTTTAGGTAGTCACTTTTAGTTTTGAACTTCTTAATCATGCATTATTTACCCAATTTTCAGCCACCCACTCAGCCTTTAATATTGTTATTTGAGTATGAAGTAAACTGAAGTAACAGTATTTAAGGCAGAGTCAAATCAGGGCTTTTGAAGGAGGTCCTCCCGAAGAGCAGAGTGGAGTTCTAATGTTGCATTCATGTAACAGTAACCAACAGAATGTCTTAATTTTCTGTTGGTTTACTGTCAATCAACAATCTTACCATATGCAGTTACATCACAGATGCCGCCATGCTCAGTGATTATAATCCTCAGTAATGAGCACACCAACTGTGCAACTCATCTCTTTTATAAACAAGAGAAAGAAAGATATGCCAACACAGTCTTTGCTGGTCAAGCTATCAGTCGAGCCAAAGGAGTTCCAGCGAGCAGGTGTTCAGAAAGCCCAGAGTTGACTTTGCGCTTAACTGAAAAATCTGAAAGGAATTGGCAAAACTAGTTTTGTTCTATATTTGTGAAGTTACTGTTATAGTTTTCTAACATTTCTGTTTTAGTTTCCTTTGCATATTTTACAGTAATACAGTACAGTACCTATTACCTTACACTAACTTATGCTGGTGTCTTAAGACTAAGAATTCTTATTTACATTTTATATTTTTAGAAATCATCATGCCTCCAGCAGCCTTAGGACAGATATTGTATGAAGCCATTGAATTAATTCTCAGTGGAACACACATTCCAGTTAAAGAACGAACTCAGCTACAGATAGTAGCATACAAAAAGATCAGCCTATATAAACTGGAATTGAAGACCCGGAATCTGGGAAGCAGGAAAAGAGGATTGTTTCAAAAAGCAAAAGAGTTGCCAAAAAGAGTGAAAGAAAAAACATTATCAGAAGTTTCAGCAAGGAAACAAAAGCTGCTGGCTCAAAACAGTTGTATGATATCATTTCAAAGTACTTTCATGGCACAAAGAGATCGCAAATTCTTGACTGGCTAAAGGAAAGTAAAACTATGACAAAGCTCCGGCCAAAATTTTCCAATAAAGCACCATTGAAACCAGTGTATTCTGTTGCTCCCATGGAGGGACACCAGATAGACATTGTGGACCTGTCTGCAGTAGCAGAAGAAAAAGATGGGAAAACGTACAAATATGTGTTGTCTATTTTGGATAACTTTTCCAGATTTCTGTGACTTGTCCCAATAACGGATGAGTCTTCAGAAACAGCGGCAAAATCATTGACTGATTTATTTAGACAATCAGTGGGGCACCCCTAAAATTATCCAAACAGATCAAGGGGGTGAATTCAAAGGCATGGTGACCCTCTGTGGCAGACTTGGCGTGCGACTCATCCATTCGAGGGCCTATCATCCCCAATCCTAAGGAAAAGTATGTTTAGTCAGATGTAAGTGTTAAAAAAAACCCAACATTCTGATGGCTGGCAAGAGAGGCTATACTGCAAGACACAACTTAGGAGGTGGTGACAGCATGTTTCTTGCACTCAGCAGATATATCATCAGAGGATTTAGAGGTCAATGCACTTGAAGTTAGGCACACGGTGGTTGACCATCTGCAGGAAACTCCCCGAACGGTACGTGTGGTAGATGCAATTATGACATGTAGATTTAGTCCTTATTAATTCCACTGTTATAGCTTTTATATTATAACGACTTATACTGATAATTTTGTATAGGGCATTGATCTGACTTCTCTAGAGGTTTATACTACCGTATTTGAAAGTATCAGAAAAAGATGTGTATCATATATCTTGACATTATTTTGTAAGCTGTAAAGAGTTACAAGCCAGACCAGTTTAGTTGATGCCCAGATCTTGATCAATATTGTGTAATCTTGAAGAAGAAGCAAAAATGGGTTTGGTATTGATTAACTAAAATTGAAAGACAATATGCAGTTAAGTTCTTATCTTTTATTGGGGTGAGTGAATATAAATTCTGGCCTGTATAAAAAAAATATTTGACTGGTGGGATAGGCAATTTAATTTAAATAAAGTATACATTTCAGATTGATGGAACACATATGAAGAACTTGGTTCCGGAAAAAAAGTCATGGAACAAGTATGTGGACAAGATGCTAAAGAAAGGGACATGGGGAGATAATCTCATGCTCCTGATGGGAGCGGCAGACGTCCCAGATGTAACAATTACAGTTATCAGCACATGGTCAGAAGAGCCTATAGTCATGAAACCCAGGGAGACAAAGGCCGGGCTCGGAACACTATGTGTAGGTCATCTGTCAGGGTTTCACTACGTCAGCTTGGAAAAAATAGCTACATTAGCGCTGACAATTCTTGTAAGCAGTGAGTTCAATCAATAAAGAGTTAACTGCTATCATCATCTATATTTTCCTTTGCTTATAGTTGTATCATGTAGATAGATCACACATCTCTGCCCTGGAATCAATATCTGTATCTTAGACTAGTTTAAACTATTCCATATAATCTGGGTCCTCAGTGTGTCCCGTCATATAATTTTAAAACCTAATGTAGATACTGGGTTCGTGGGTTAAAGCAGTGTGAAGATGAACATGATAAATAATATTAGTAGTAGATTTAACATAAAATGATTTATTCCAGTTTCTCCCAATTCGAGATCAAGCACCCACAGCATTGCTTTAATGTAAGTCAGCAAAATAATAAATATGTGGTGGTGTTTCATATTTTATCGTTCAAATAATCTTTCTATTCTTCAGGCCAGAAGTGCAGAACTTGCCACCAAACCCTAAGTGTCTGCAAATGTGCTGTAAGCATTAATAGAACTCTTTTAATATTTATGCATGACCCCTAGGTCAAACTCCAAAACGATGTTTTCCCCGCATGGCGGCAGAGCAAACAGTTCTCGTTCAGCTTCGTTGAGAATTTTGTTCAAAGTCAATCGAAAAGCGCGGGATGATCCCCGTGGAACAAGGGATTCCATTATAACAGCGATGGGTTCGTCAACATTATAATACTTGTTATTATAGTATCATTGTATGTACTCCATCAAATTAAGAAGTATGTCGTGATGTTCCAGTCAAGAGAGACTCAAGTGGACAAGCTTCATGATCAACAAAAGCAACTTGCCATCAGATTCCTATCCAACTTCATCAAGCCACAATCACTGAAAGAACTCACACCAAAAAAACTTGTGAACGTTGTAGTGTCAGACCCAGCCAATCACTTGCCAATGAAGGATATATTCATTGGAAGTCAGACAAAAGGAGTTTTGTCAAGGTATGGCTGTAATAAATTTGCATCCCAATTCATGGAGAATGTCAAAGAAACATATGTGAATTGTAGCATCTCTCCTGTCCAAGATGCCTATCAATAATCCCCTTTTGAAGGCCATGTCAGCCCTGGATCCAGTTGTGAGGCCAAATGCTACAACCCAGCACTACCTCAATCAACTCCCATCTCTAGCTACAAATGTTCTCAAGGAAGATGACAAAGACGACTTTGACCTGGAGGTGAGAGCTTACACAGTTGATGACCACTTGCCTGGTCCTCTGTCATGTCATGATGAGAAACTGGATCTGTGGTGGGCAATTGTTGGCAAGTCAGGAAGGTACCGTCTTCTATCAACTTTAGTTAAAAGTGTCATCACATGCCTTCATGGTCCCATTGTTGAAAGCAGTTTTAGTATCATAGGGGACATACTTGACGACAATTTAGCCAACATGAACATGGTGCGTACAAGCCTTGAAAAGCCCTTGAATTTTGGATGCTGTCTTGAAAAGGCCTTAAATTTGTGTTTGCCTTGAAAAGTCTTTGAAAATCGCCAAAATGTCTTGAAAAGGCCTTGAATATTGACTAAATGATTAACTCGCGACTTTACCCCAAATTACACTGCACACAACCAACTCTCGTGTCTACGTAAACAAGTTGTGCTGACACCGGTTTCCGATATTTTCTTTTTTTAATCTAAATCGGTTTCATTTACCATTTAAGTATCACCTGTAATTCAACCAATCACATCCCTAGAAAGAGATCACGAGCATTCATGATCCAATCAAATGCGTACCCATAATGCAGTTTTTGAATAATTAATTTTGGTTATAATCCAACTTCACATTTGTTTCCGGACAAAAATTAAAAGACGTATGTTAGTTTGGTGGTATTTGCTAGTTATATCAATCATAAATTGATTAGATAAATGTAATACATAAGATGAAAGTTTCGTTAATAGATAAACAAAAACAAAAGATATCTAATCCTAATTCGTTCGAGACGATGCTTCTAGAACGTAGGTCATAAAATGCGAGTAACCTCCCTTTCCAACATGGGGCGCACGGTCTTCAACATATCGTGGAAGGATAAATATGATTGGATTCGGCCATTCAAAGGTGACAGACAAAGCCTTATGTGATGTTTGCTTCAAGGTATTTGATCTTGCAAAAATAGGCGAGGCAGCAGTGAAATCTCATGCAAAAAGTAAATCGCATCAGACTAATCAAAAGGCACGTGGGCGATCAAATGTGTGTCATCGTTACCATCATGTTTTGATGTTTATCGATCAGAATCAGAGAACCCCCCCCCCCCCCCCCCCCCCCCCCGATGGAATCTACCACTGTTTCTACCAAGGCCGGCACTAGCACTATGGAGTTATCGATACCCCCACTTCCTATTATTGACAAGCCAACACTGTCTGTTACTAAACAAGGATCACGCATTAGCAAGTATGTGTGTGATAATGCTGTTTTGAAAGCAGAAGTCATGTGGACACTCAAGACTTTTACTAGCCACAACTCTTATAGGTCAAACGATAACATTGATAAAATATTTCAATGTATGTTTCCAGACAGTCAAATCGCAGCCAAATTTTCGTGTGGATTGAAAAAAACTGCTTACATGTGTGTGTTTGGAATTGCAGAACATTTCACTGACATTTTGGTCCAAGGAGTCGAGGGCCCTTTCTCTGTTATATTTGACGAAAGCTTAAACAAAAAGTCTCAAGAGAAACAAATGGACATACACATAAGATTCCTGGATACCAACAACAAAACTTGATATCAAGATGTTGATTCAAGTAGGGATGGACGGGCTGCATGTAAATTGGTCCTTCTACGAGAAGTTAAGAAAAAAACTATTGGATGAATATGGATTCACATTGTTGAACGCTAGGAGTTGTGGGTTGCACACTGTGCACAATGCATTCAAGAGTGGTGCAGTTGCTACTGAATGAAAGATAAGTGATTACTTGCAATCCCTTTATTATCTCACCAAAGATTCTCCTGCTCGAATGGAAGATTTCCTGTCTGTCTGTGCTAAATTACCACTTCAGTTTGTTTCACATAGGTGGTTGGAAAACATTCCAGTCTGTAATAGAGCACTTGAGATTTTGGATGGGGTGAAGAGCTACATTAAGGCAATTCAGGATAAGAAGTTCACCAAACCATCATGCAAGTCCTATCAGACAACATGATTAAGGCTAAACTACTTTTGTTCAAATTTGTTGCTGCACATCTTCAGCCATTTCCTTCGACATATAAGTCAGAGAAACCCTTGTTGCCTTTCCTTGCCAATGACCTTTACACTATGTTAAGGAATCTGATGAGGTGTTTTATTAAAGAGGAAAAACTGAGCCAAATGGAGACAGTGGAAAACATGAAATCTATTGTTGAGGACAAATCAAATCATCTTCATTATAAGGTCGACTGTGGATTCCAGACTGAGAAAGAGCTTAAGGAAGTTATCAAGAAAACAAGTGTTAACACTGGTTAATGAGAGACAGATAATGGATTTCAAAATTATGTGTGTAGAATTCCTTTCCTCTACAGTGAAAATTTGTGTGTGCAAAAGTCCACTTTCATATACTTTAGTCAAGCATCTGAAATGCTTCAACCCAAAAGAAATGGCTACTAACCCTGAACAGTGTCGAACCAGTTTCAAAAAGGTCATAGAATATCTTGCAAATTGTGACAGAATTTCTGATGACAAGTGTGATGTTGTCTTGGCACAATATTCGTCATTCCTGGATAGCATACCAGCATTTGGCTCTCAACAGTTCTTTGGCTTTGATCATAAAGCAGAAGGCAGTAGGTTAGATGAACTACTTCTGCCTTGTATGCAAGGTGAGGAATATTCAGAACTGAGAGGTGTTACTCCCAAGATCATTGTGATGTCCCATGGACAGGCGGCAGTTGAAAGGGGATTTTCAATAAATAAAGAACTAGAAGTTGAGAAGTTTAGTTTCCCAAAAGAGTGATATGTGACCATGTTAGGAATGTGGGAGTTTAATGAATGTGAAAGTTGACAAAGCTCTGTTGTTGAAAGCTTCCCAATCTAGGCAGAAATACAATATGTATCTAGAAAAACAGAAAAAGGATAAGCTGGATGAGCAGGAGCAAACGAAAAGGAAACACATCCTTGATGAGGTCAGTGACCTTAAGGCCAAATCAGGGAATCTTTCTTTCATTACTCAGTCAAATGCCCTAAGAAGGGCTGCAAAAGAAAAAGAATCCTTGTTAGACACTTGCGTGAAATCTCTTGATAAGAAATTGGATGAGCTTAGAGAATAGTTCATCTACCATTGTCTGCAGATGTGTTGTAATTACCTATTGATCTGTTATTGAACATGTTGTCAATTGCTTTTCATATGTCATTTAGAAGATTCATGTGAAATTTCATATAGAATGAATCTGTTATTGACAACCTCTGTTGCCATGATTATGGTTATTGTACCGAAGTACTGATGTTACTGCTCTACTATTCTTTAGCAGGTCAAAATGGATTGTGTTCAATTCTTTAATTGTTGAGAAATACTTGACATCTTTAAATCAGTGTATGATGTTCTGAATATGTTTATAATAAAACAAACAAAATTGCATTTATTTTCAATTTGATGACAAAGATGATTAAATGAAAATAACTGAAACATTGATGGGTAATGATTCTGACATTTAACATGTCTACAATACTGGACATCAAACACATGTATTATGAAGATGTAATGACAAAGCATTGGGCCCCCACAATTTATTTTAGGGAGGGTCCCTTTTATTCAGAACAGGGGGCCCAAAGGGATCCCTGTTTTCAAAACCCAAGAACAACACTGATTAAATAATCCTTGACATTGATGTAACTTGTATATGAACACTTGAGCTTGATATAGTTTATCAATGTAGCATATTTTAACTTTGCCTAGTTGTCTAAGTATGGCATTAATTTTTTAATTTTAACTTTTGAATTTAAAGTTGGAAAGAGATACGCCAACCACTTCTACTGGCCAAAGAAACTTGTAGGTAAGTGTTGGTATAATCATGGATCAAATAATTGCAGTTATACCCAAACCAACAAAAGTTGCTGGGTCGTCACACTTTGAAATTGATCAACAAATATGGGAATATGCAATGAACTGTGTGGACACAAGCAGTTGAGAACTGCACTAAATGTTTGTACCTGCACTCATCATCAGTGCTTTTATTGTTAATGTGTGTTCACATATTTTTCATGTTTCAAAGAATTGACAGTTGTCAAATGTAATGGTTCTGGTTTTCATTGATATTGTGATGTTCATTGTATTCAATATAACAACATTTTAAATTATTTTAAAGAGAGCACTATGAAAATAATAAGGAGTATAGCTGACAAACACAAGTACAGTCATACATGTAATGGTTATACAGTGAGGGTTCTTATTTTCATGGAGAGGTGAAATCCTTCAGAGAGCATTTTAGTATGGCATATTACGGAGAATTCAGTGCTTTTTACACGAGTGTCCATCGGATGGACTCCATCCTGTAACATATTTCATTTCACACTGGACGAATAGCTTCACTTTATACTCTCTTGTTACTGTTGGCCTAATTGTTCATCACAGTGTTTCAGTTTTACAAATTGTGAAATGCTGAAGGACATAAACTAAGAACTTTTGAAATTTTGTCTGTTCTTTAATAAAATTGTCTATCCCATAACAGCTCCCATGTTTGAAATGCTATGTCAGTTTTTCACATTCAGTTTCATGTTTATTTTAAGAGATGACGAATATATGTATGTTTTTCTTTTTAGAACAGTAACTGGAAAAGACTGTTTACATTAGTATCTGAGGAGAGATCATAACTATTTTATCAAAGTGTCCTTCTTGTAACACAGATGTCTTTCCCGTAACACAGCAATATTTGAGCTCAAATTGACAAACTGACTGAAACAAGCATTCAAAAGGATGAAGCTTTTAAGGTTATGATTCCACTTTAACAATTAACTGATTCAGATGAATGTATTGTTGGCTCATCTGGTAACCATTAAGATTTATGTGTTACACATCCTAACCAATATATGTAAAATGATATGACAAGTTGATTTGTTTCACATATTTGAACTATTCTTATTTTTATCTAAAACTGAACATCATTACTTTAAGAGATTCTGAGAGTTATTATTCTTATCAAACAACCTTGTTTAACTGAATCTTGACCAATTTTAAAACTGTTACAGGAAAGACATTTGCCACCTCTGCTACAGGATAAAATATTTAAAAAATATTGTGCCAAAGGGTTGTAAGATTGCAATTTGTTATTTTCACACTTTACAGTTGCTGTTAAAAGCAAATATGAAAATAAACTTTTCATTTTGAGAGACTGGATTTTATCTTTTTTCAATCTTCAAATTCTGTCATTTTTTTATAATGACTCATATATTTCAGATTGATGGAACACATATGAAGAACTTGGTTCCGGAAAAAAAGTCATGGAACAAGTATGTGGACAAGATGCTAAAGAAAGGGACATGGGGAGATAATCTCATGCTGCTGATGGGAGCGGCAGACGTCCCAGAAGTAACAATTACAGTTATCAGCACATGGTCAGAAGAGCCTATAGTCATGAAACCCAGGGAGACAAAGGCCGGCCTCGGAACACTATGTGTACTTATTTTGTATAAAAGCACTTTTTGTAATTTATTTTGGATGATTCATATTTTCATCATAAAATACACTTAATAATCATATAGTTTTTGCAAATTTGTCTTCAGAATAAGTTTTAGCAATTCTTAAAACAAGTCCCTAAAAACAATGTCATTACTGCAACAGAGAATCATTTACAAAAATATGGTCTAAGGGAGGCAACTTTCCTAGTGTGGTCACATGACCCTAAGTTTGCAGTGGAGGGAAGCATGGATGGCATGGATGGCATGGATGCCATGTATGCATCCCTTCACATCATCAGCCTATTTTCTTGATATTCTTCTAAAAGTGCAGCATTTTGAGTGAGTATGTTTATCTATCGTCATTACCATATACTTAAGATACCTTATACTGTTGTACCTGTTAGTTCCATAATTCACTTAAACTTTAAATGAGGTTGATATGCAACAATTTCTGAGCAATGTAGACTGCTTAAAATGTATGGAGAGTTGTTTTAGCCATAATTGTAAAAAAATGTCATAACCACAACAGTCATTACCAAAACAGCAAGGTAGGTTTTGGTAATGACAAAGCATTTTGGTAATGACTTCTTGAGATTGAAATTGATAAACAATTAACAATACTTATTGAGAGCAGTTCATCGTTTAAATTATTACAGATCTAAAAGAATGCAATATCAATTCAAACTTATATTATCTGAAAATTATTGAGACTATTACAAGAATAACTGAGAATGTAATGGAATGTATGAAAAACAATGTTATTATTTAACAAAATATTATTCAACAATTACATGCAAGTATATCTTTTTCAGAATGAGTGTGGAAAATGAGTTTAAGAAGATATATAGAAAAATTAGATAAGTCTCTTGAATCAACTGAAAAAGAATTTTATGACTTGCTAAGTGAAGTGTATTCTCGATCGGATCCTTACTTCAGAACTTGGGCTAAGCAAGTTGTTGACTTATATGAAGCTATTCTCTACCTGAGAGAAAACATCAAACGTTACACCAAGCTATTAAAAGAAGACCATGGGGTTAACTAATAAGGAAAGAAGTAGACGATTTATGACAAAGCTAAAAGAAAATCCAGAGAAACAAAGAATATCTTGAAAAGGAAAGAGAAAGATACCAAAAAAGGAAAGAAAGAAAACAACTCTGAGGAATTGAAGTTCTCTTTCAGATTAAATCCTCCTTGAGGCACTTATTGCATTTTCCTTGCTCAAGAAAATCTACATGACATAGTCATAACCATTTTCCTTAATAAAAAATGTTACCACACAAAAAACAACGTTTTTGTATGATATATGACCACCCCAACGGGGCCTCACCCTCTACAGGCGACACATGTCAAGGGGAGCAACTTTCACCCAAATCATTTTTCCTTATGTCATCTGGCTGACAAGTGCTCAGAGAATTCTTTCAACCACTACGTTGAACTTGAACGACATGGCTGACCAAACTATGTGTGGTATATTCCCTTTTCTTCCTTGCAAAGGCGTAATTCCTCACATGCTCGGCTCGGAGTCGAGAGATGAGGAGTGGATGGAGGAGGGAGGGGATGGTGCGGCTCCGCATTCTGTCCTCACTAGTACACGAGGTCATTGATCCCCTGCTTTCGGGTGCCCGAACAGCTTGGCTAAGGCTGAGCAGGGCTGGCGGTTGCCATCTTTCCCTATGTGCGGGGCGGAGTTGAAGGCTGCTTACGTTTGCTTCGAGGAGCAATATTGTAATGCATGCCAACAGCTCTGTATTGCCGTCCACTCGGCATACCTGTCTGCGGTGCAGCGGGAGCTAGTGGGGGAGGGGCAGTCTGACTCTTCGGAGTTGGCTGGCCAACTCACTGAAGTCCATAGCCATCTGGCGCGGGATGCTATTCGTAGCTGAGTGGGCAACAACAGATTTTTCTGGCCGGCTCTTCTGGAAGACATCCTCTGGTATGAGGTACAGCACTTCATCACTCTCATTGCCCCTCCAACCTTGGTCACCAAGAGACATGACCAGATTGATAAAGAAATGTGGGTCTCTATTCAGAAATACCTGGATGAGAAGTATCCTGATTAATAACTGTGATATGATGTGGATATTAACATTGATGGCATCATTTACTTGTTGAAATAGAAACGAGTTGATTGTGACATTTTCAATTTCCAGTTCTAAGATGAAGTAAATGTGGTAGCATCAATGAATTTGTTAAAGCATTATGATTCAAGTATCTTACTTGCTTATCACTTTACAACAACAGAACTTGTTTAAAGTATTTCCAGTTTTCCAATTAAATTTAGCATCGTGTTTGATTTGAAAAGCATGTTTTTATGGGTTGATTAAAGTTTATCAAACACTTGAGGTATTTTGTCATTAACGTAACATTATGTCACTACCACAACAGGCTGAAAAACCTTGGTTATGAAGTTGTTTGGGTAAAACCTTAGTAAAATCATGCTTATTGAGGTTAAATAAGGCACTCATATGTTGATTTACACAGTATGATATGTATCAATTTTACTTGAATATCAAAACTTGCACTTTTTGGTGATTTCAACATTTTCTGTAGATGATGTTTTGCTTGAACGCAAGGTACATGTGTTAAAATTTTGATATCAATGTATTATTATTTGAAAATAATAATTTAGTTGAACTATATACACACTGTACTTAACATAACTAACTATTATGTATTTCAAATTATTTTTGGTTTCTGATACATCATTTTTTTAAGCGTTGTGGTAATGACATTCCTTTATTGGACCTATGACATTCCTTTACTGGACCTATGACATTTCTTTTACTGGACCTATGACATTCCTTTATTGGACCTATGACATTCCTTTATTTGACCTATGACATTCCTTTACTGGACCTATGACATTTCTTTTACTGGACCTATGACATTCCTTTACTGGACCTATGACATTCCTTTACTGGACCTATGACATTCCTTTACTGGACCTATGACATTTCTTTTACTGGACCTATGACATTCCTTTACTGGACCTATGACATTCCTTTATTGGACCTATGACATTCCTTTACTGGACCTATGACATTCCTTTATTGGACCTATGACATTTAAAGTTAAAAAAAATAATAAACATTAGTGGAACTTCACTGCAAAATACAGGAACATTAAGTAAAATATATGTAGTTAATGTCAGTGAAATGAAACTAATAATAACACATAAAACATTTCTGACATATATGAAGAACAATGTTTCCCAGTTTGGTAGAATGACCCATATAAGTGATTATCGCGAATGCTCTCATGTTTCTGGCATGATCGGGAAGATCAATACAGGGGAGGGCGACCACACCAAATTACCCTGTTCGGAGGTCAAACAATTCCCCAATCCCTAGTGATTTTCGGCAATAAAGATCTAAATTATGTGGCAACTTTAGAATTCATGGGTAAACTGTTATAAAGGTGGGTTGGACAGGTGGATTTAATTCAGAAATAATGTAATCTATGTGATGTAGCTACATTGACCGATTGTGTTAGCAGGTTAGGAAGGGTGGTTTGTTTGTCCTCGTAGACGGTGTTAAGGATGCTTTAGTGATTATTTATTAAAGTGGGTTAGTTAGGGGTTTGTTCGTCTGCTATAGGCTGCTTCTGAGTTTTATTCTTAAGGTATAAGTAAGTAGGATTTTTGGCTTAATAATGTAAATTTTAGTTAGGAATAGGATTGACTGATTTGTAATTGTTGTTGAGTTTGTATTTATATTTTGTTAGTTGTTTTTTAAAATTATTTTCTGTAATAAACTGTTGAAACTCGATTATATTTTGTCGTGAATCACCTCCCTACATCCAACGAACTGAGGTCGTAAAGGACAGACAGAGGGACCGTAGACACAATCTTCAGTATTTTCAGCATCAATATCTCCTTGATAAAAGAATTACAACGCAAAGTCATGAAAATATTAGGTGTCCAAATGTGCCCAAAGCCTGTCCTGTTACACAAGATACGGTGCCTAACAGAAAAAGTCTTACAAATCACACCAGGTCTGTAACCAGTTGCCATCTTGCCTTGACTACAGATGGCTTGACAAGCAGATCTGTGGAAGGCATGCCAAGCTGACTCTATTATGTCACACAGTCACAGAGGGAAGAGTCACACCTAGACAGCAAATGTGGAAGCCACCATGAACTTTCCCAAGCCACAAACAAAGAAGGAAGCGTGCCGTCTCGTGGGTATGGCAGGATATTACCACCGTTTCTGTCCAAACTTTGTTGGAAAACTCATTTGGAAACACCAACTTCCTGCCAGCTTCCAACACTATTCTGGATTCAAGAACGGAGACTGGCCTCTTCCAAGACACTAATCAGTGACCAAATTCTGAACTTTAGTTTTAGGGCCTGTTACTTATTGCTGTTATTTAGTTGACCCATTATGCTGACCTTTTTTATATCGTTAACTTAAAACTCCATGTAAATATATTTTATTGATATTCATCGACCTTGTGTGTTCACTTACTGATTTCATGATTGAGTTAAGAAATCCCATTTGTTAGCTACAGCTAAATATAATAGCCTTGATGCTAAGCCTGAAATGCGAAGCTTTGCCTTGGCTGAAAAGGCATGAAATTGCATTGAAATTGGAAAGAGAATTTCAAAATGGGTGTAGAGAGGATTCCAAACTCTGTCAGTCACTCTGATCTGACAAACGATGGGGTGCTCACCCCTTACGTATCAGCGGTTTTACCCGTTCACAGGCTACCACGCTCTGTGTAGGTTGGTCACACAGATTTAGAGAACCATAAGTACAGAGGAATAATTAACTCAACTTCTTGTTGAATTCTAGTTGTTGTTAGCTGATGCAACTTTTCTGTTGTAAGCCTGAGTCAAACAACTGCAGGAGCATGAAAGGATGGCATACGCCACAAAACAATTATCAACTGCCACCAGCAATGTCACTGTGGGACCATCAACTGCCACCAGCAATGTCCCTGTGAGACCATCAACTGCTGGCAACAGTGACCCTGGGAAAAGGAGGACGATTCACGAAATAGAAGTTGCTAAGAATCAGAAACAGTCGGGAAAAAGACATTGGAAAAAAATGTTTTAATCATCAATATTCAATGTAATGTTAATTATGTTTTAGTTATCATATCTATATTTTGAATAAGTAATACAGTGGTATATTATGTATCATTTTTATCTAAGAAGAAAGCTTCTTGGTCTTTGACCAGAAAGCCAAGTGATTAATTGTTTTTAGTTGACATTGTTATCGAACAGCTAGTAATAACTCCATATGATAGTACATGTTTTTAGTAAATCTTTTTCAAACTTTTTATATTTTTCTGTGAATATTTTTTTTATACTAAGCTCAGAAATTAAATGATGTAAAATACTGTGCCCTATGCAATGCCTGTTTTATGTGTACATTATGGGGCTCTGGCCTTCTATTGAATAAACTTGTCTGTCTGTTAATCCCAGAAACTCCAAACTAGTTCTGAACCCCAAGAATATGTTTGTTTATAGAAGCACTTAGGCTCCCTGCTCATGCTCAGTCTGGGAATCGTAGTGCCAAACTCACAGACCAACACTGTCCCTTCCTCTCTTAGAGAGCCAGGGCGCTAATACATCACAGTGGACGTTCAAACTTACTACAATGCAAAACTCCTCTCAGCAACTGGCGCAGATGGGGCTGTTATTACCTACATAGTTTTTATGGTAAGTTTTATCTTTTTATTAAGATTTTATTAAGATATTATCAAGATCAAATCAAATCAATAATTTTCCATTTGTCCAGTGTTGATGAGAGAGGGTGACAAAGCGAGTCAGGAAGGTCCACAGCCTCACTTCGAGGTGCATGAAGACCTGAGTATCTATGCTATCTAGGTGTCAGTCAACACAGCATTTAACCAACACATATAGACATTCCAAATGACATCACTGCTCACAGCTGGTAATAACCAAATGAAAAATTGATTATTATTTAGCATTAATATTTGACTTTCATCAATCCAAGGCAGAACTCAGGAAACTGAGAAAGAGCAAGTGACACAACAGTACAAATTATTATCACATAATTAGCCTCAAATTTGATATGGATACACAAGAAAATATTTTTGTGATTTTATCACTTTTTTTCACTAAGGATACTGCTTTAAATTCTTATTGATGACAAACTGAGCCCTTCTTGATTTCACAAGAACGCCTGAGTCCACCAGCCCCAAATTGTCTTTTGGAATCATTGTCTCATGATAATACAAAGATTTTCATTTACTGAGCTTACAAGACCAACAAACTTTTACTAGACTTGGGCTTTGGACTAGTGGTTCAAGTAGCAGATTATTCAAGCTGTGTTTCCTGGAAACACTGTAAGTTAGCTTAGCTTGAAGGCGAGTCAAGACCCTTGGTTCACCTTCTTATCAATTCATTTCATGGATGTGGTGGATTTGAAGATTGTTTTTAAATTCTTTTCACAAATAGATTATGCCAATTCAAAATTTTGGAATGTGTATGAATATAACATTATAACAATTTCCAAATTCCAAATATCATATCTAGTACATTTTCCATATTCTGTGATGTTAGCCAAACACAGGTTTTATATAAATATTATACATTGTATACATACATAGCAGACAATGCTCAATATATCATTGCACATGGTCCTAAACTCAACAGATTACTGTTACTAGTGGGGTGCATAGTGAATACCACACATTACCTTCCTTTGTAAAAATGTTTACACACTGATTCATGGTATTGTGACAACTGATTACCAAATAAGTCACCATGGCAACCATGGATAAACATGATTTATGAACATTATCAAGGAGAAAGTTCAAAATGAAACAAAGAAACATAAATATAAGCAGAATCAGACTTCAGCTACATGTTGGTAACTTCTGACCTTGTAAATATGAAGTCATGATATTGTATGAGGCATTACTGGGCATAAACAAACTTTAGGGAGGCAGGATTTTATCCACAAATCCATAAAAGTAGACTTGATTCTATGTGAAAGAGCCATTTGGCTACGCTCTCTTCGGCTTTGTGATGGCTTGCAAAACAAAGAAACTGGCTTGAGGCAATGGCGACTATGCCTGAGTTTCCCTACAAACCTCACTCTGAATTGTATGTTGCGTGGAAATAGATGAAAAATAAAATTTGAGTTGAAAAAGTTGTTTCCTTAGAGTGCATAAAATCCCAATAAATATATTAAAGGTGTGGGCTAAAATTTAGGGGAAGGCAGGTTATGAAAAACAGAAACTTCCTATGGTTACAGGTACAGAAACATAACAAATTATTCTCATAAGGAAATATTTAGATGATTATGACTATGACAGCATTAACACATTCTTTGTTTGTTGATATACGTCATATAAACATTAGTTTTCATTTCAATATTTGTCATTTTGATTTTATTCATATTTATGAAAAAGAATGTTGACTTCTCTACAAATTATGCCATTTGTTTTCTTTGAGCATGTTTAGGGGTGGAATCAAAACAACATATCATTCAAACAGCTTTGTGAGATCTCATGATTTGATGTTACTATGAATTCCTCATTAACAACTATCTGAATCACAGGCACATATTCTATAACATACAACTTCAGTATAAGTCAAATCAGTAACCACTCCTTGAACCTGACTCTCTGGAGGCCAATCTCTTGTCGTGTACCTCCATGGGAAGTAGGTGTACTGCATCAGCGTTCTGCTAGAAAGACTTCTGTAGAGTGTATTTGGTTGTAGACTAGGCAGGCTTGGAGCTGGATCACTTCCATTTGACAGACTGCAAGGCAAGGATTGTTTCTGTTAGTCTTAGGCTAAAAAAAATTAAATTCTTGGTTCTCAGGCACCCCCACATCATCATAAAGTCCGCCATACGTTGCGTTTGTATTTTCATTTTCAAAAAATTACTGCACATGTCGTGTGTTATGGTCATGGTGGCAATAGGAGTTTGTGTGCTTGTTTTAATGTTTGCAAATTTGGTCAATGAAAACATTAAATTAGCTGTCTATCCACCAGTCATGATGATGGTATTCAAATACAAATTCAAGGGTATTTGTGGACTGTATGCGGGACAATGCTTCATACACAGAGGTTAAGATTTACAATAACATGTGTAACATAAGTGGGAAATCGATGCTAAATTATATACCCTGTCTATGAAGCGAATCGGAATGAAGCACGTCACCAGTGCATACACAATCCCTACATCTGCAATTAAAAAGTGTTTGTCTTCCGCAGAAAAAAATTGCATCGTATCCTTTCAGCGAATTCAGGAAAACAAACAGATAATAACAATTAAACTTGGCCAAAACAAATTTGAGATAAAACATCACTAGACATGAAGATTTACCGATTAAATTGTATTTCCTGTTCTGATTGGCATTGTTTTATATGCAGAAATTAAGATTACCGTGCATCTTGTCACATAAACTGAGCCGGAAGTGGTGATTCGGTCAATAATATAATTTTAAAGAATTTTGATACAATGAGCGGAAGAATTGTATCTGAAACTATTATTTAATTAGGAATAATTTATTTCAATATCATGTTAGTTTCAACTTTACTTTATACATGTGAAATAAATTAATAACCATAAGCGTAGCACTTTGGTTCAGCTGATCGCCATTGCCGGATATGTTTTCTTATGGAAGCATTTGACCAATCACCGTTGATGCCCCCGCGCCCGTGATTGCGAAAACTTTATGATGACGTATAATGGTCACCCTACAATAAATATGACTTTCAGCGATTCAATGTATGGAATTTATGATATATCTATCCACCAAAGTTCATTACAAAGTGTTGATATGACCATGGTTGCTGTAAATAACGGTGAGTTGTGCGATCCTCCGATCACTTCACATACGATTTCGCCGAAATGAATTTAAACAATATTGAATGAAATGTTGAATAAAATTTTTAAAAAAGATTAAAAACATAAGTCCAGATATATGATGAACACTTTTTATAACCAGACCGTGTATTTATATGATTAATTCGCGTACTTCAGTACGGATTTGTTGAAATTGTATTTCGGGTGTTTTGTGCTCACAGTAATGTCTTTGTGTTGCTCAACCCTGTGTATAAGACGACACCCCCACCTTGAAAGCCTCCCAATTCTGGTTCTGAAAAACTCCCCTTATACACAGCGATATACAGATTTGGATTCTTACTAGTTTGTACACAACCCCCCCCCCCCAAAAAAAAGGCTGCCCGCACGATATTTTCAAAAGCTATTGCCTGAAAACCCAATTTTATTTTTTTCAGCCTTACAGACATTATCAACATAGCATCCTATCATCCTACCCTCACTCGATACCCCTTTTATTTCTGTCATCATCTGTTATTTTCGAATATCCTCGACTTTGGAGGGTGTACTGTAGGCTATACTGCTGCCTCTATTAAAGAAATAACAAATCTTGAGTTTGGCATGTCACTATTTTCTGTCCAATGACTTACCGAGCTCCGCAGAACATCCTGGGCATACAGAGCTTCATGGGATCTAAGTGTCTGGGAGTACTTCTCCAGCTGTGCTCGGTCCTTCAGCGCTACCAGAGCCTGAAAGTTGGAGGGAAACAGAAGTGACAAGGAACGAAGCCACAGAAATGTTTCCAGATTTAGAGTCTAGCCGAGGAGTGAGTGAGTGAGAGTGAGTGAGTGAGGTTTGACGTCACTTTGAACAGTATTCCAATTATATCACAGCACTTCTGCTAAAGATGGGAGGAAAGTGATGCAGGTCTTCGATAGTCACCACTTTGATTGTTGTGCTATCAACAATGAACAGTGGCAGATCGCTTCAACTGACCAATCAGCATGGAGAATTACTTGAATGCACGTGTGCTATCATTTCATTATTTGTGATCACTTGATCACAAGCATAGGTACTAGCTGAGATGACAGTCAGGGTATGTGATAATCCACCATAAGCATCCATATACTTACATCTATCACAGCTTTAGGGCATTCCACTTTGTGTGCAATAGTCAGTCTTTGGTCTAAATCTTCTATCAAGGCAACATACTTTGCTAAAACCTGAAAACCAAAAATACATACACATGACGTTACTTCACATTCATACATTCATACATACTGAGGAGCAATAATGACAGACATGTGAGTGAGTGGAGTCTGCATCAGAAGTACTGCGCATATGTTTAAAATTAGATCAGAATTCTGAAGGTATTTTGTTAGAGAGATAGGGATCACTCAAGCAGAGTTTCACCTTCAAAGGCCTTGTGGTTTCAGAGTGAGTGAGTGAGAGTGATTGATTGAGTATGGTTTTATGCCACTTTTTGCAATATTCCAGCAATATCACGGCAGGGGACACCAGAAATGGGCTTAACACATTGTACCCATGTAGGAATGAACCTGGATCTTCGGCGTGAAGAGCGAACGCTTTAACCATGAGGCTACCCCACCTACCCCTGTGGTTTCAGAGGAGAATGAGTGAAGGTTGCTTGACACCACAATCAGTAATATTCCAGCTACTTCCTCACTGACCACAAATAATGGAGTGGAGGCAAGAGCAATAAATTACATGATCAGGGTACAATGCCAGGAAGTGACCACCCAATCTCCAGCAGAGAGGGAACTCCTCTGACCTGGAATCACTATAGGGATTTCAGAGGAGAGATAATGGATATATAACATATATAATCCTGTTTGTTGCTTAACACCTCACTCAGCAATATTTCAGCTACATGAGGTCAGCCTGTACATAACTTGGTCTGGACAAAAAAAACCAAGTGATTGATATTATGAGTATCAAACCATGCCATCGGGGCAGACTCACACATTATCAACCAAGTCAGCGAGAGACCACCCGATTTGTTAGGTCCTTGTCATAGTAATCTTGTTGTGTCTGCTGTATAAATACCTACATCATGCGGAGCCTTGTTCTTGTGCAGGATTTCGGATACCTTGTCGAAGCCTATCACAGCCTTTAACTTTGTTCCTCCAAACCATCCCTGTAGAAGTAACACAGGAATTATTCAGCAGTTTAACAATCAAGAGAGTCAACAGTTCTCATAATTGACAGGCATATCAGGAAAAAAACTTTTCCAACACTATGATACTGACAAATATAGGATTACACTCAGGGTGAAACTGGGGTTTCACTCCACAACCAGTGGATCCTTGGAACCACTAAGGGACACAACTCTGCACACAATTGTGGCCTCAAGTCCTCCAAGTTTGTCAAAGACTTATCATGGATGTTAGTCAACGCAGTGGATGAAATCTTATATGAAACATCAATAAATGAATTTAATTTCACCTTTGTCATCATGGTCATATTACTACAAAACAAATTATCAGTAGTTTTCTAATACATGTAGGTCAAAACATGAAAGTTGATATTGTTTTCTATGAAGTCACTGATCACAGTACTATTATATACTACTCAAAAGAAATGAAAGAACACATGATTTTTTGCATATGACAAAAGTTTATCTGTCATAACCTGACTAACTTCTTTTAAATAGTGTAGTTAACCATTAAATCATAAAATTTCACAAAATACTCCTAGCATAATTTCAGGTTCATTTGCCAAGGACCCCATAGCATGTAATTAGTCAGCTTACTTAGAAACTTTGGGTCTTTTGCTGACAAAGTGAAGATGGTTCATCACTCTGGTAAACTCACAATGTTTCTGACAGTGTGTGGCACTGACAAATGACACAACTATCACCATTGAGATATAAAAGCAGTGTCTTACCTGGGTTATTTAGTTAATCAACATGGGCTCATATGTAACCCCAAATATTGGAAATTTTAGTATTAATTGCATATTTATATACTTATACTATCTCACACTTTGCATTTCTCCCTTCTTCTTCGATCCTATGTGGGAACGTGCTTGAATCATGTTTTCAGCTTCTAAAACTAAAAATAGCCACCCAAGCCCCCCCTGCATCTCCATGGTTACGTTAAAAAGCTAGGTCAATTGCACGCCATGCCTGCTTGAACTGACCACGTGCGCCTCTACCAATTCATTCTCTTTCACAGAGCTTATTAGGCTAGAGTAAATGAGATGCGGGGATTGTTGGGTGGGCTTATCGCGTGTGAGATAGGATAAGTACATAAATATACAAATTATATATCCAAAAGCACCCTTCCATGATGGTTGAAAGGGTGCAGTTACTGTGGAGGGCCATGGTGGAGGCAACCGCACGAGTCTCGTGAGGATTGGACGTTGTAGGTGGAGGCAGCCCGGTGAAAGTCTGTGGAGGCGCGACGCATCGAGATATATTCGAAGCGCCCAAACGGGGCACAAAGAGGTCTTCATGGTCGTTCGACGAAAGGACGTGAAAGCTGCATCTAGGTTAGAGTTAATGTACAGTAAGACCGGTCTTGGAGGGAGCGTAATCTTGGACGAACTAGCCGATGGAACTGCGAATCCAGAGAACCTATCCTCAGCTGTTGTCCGCTGTAACTGCAGTTTATCAGCTATCCAATGCAAGGCTGATTCAGGGTCCGCTGGTTCATAACTCCCAACACGGGGTTGACACTGGGTCGTCAAGAACAGCTGACGGGTGTGAACTGTCAGTTGGTTGAGCCTGGATATTGGGATCGCCCGAAGTAGAGGCCGAGCCGGCTGAGCCGGGTGGGGTCGAACGGGAGGTAACCAGAACAGGATCAGTAGGTTGAGGAGTCGATGAAGGATCCGAACGGTGAAAGAGGACAGTGGATATTGCTTTCACCAGAGAATTAAACGATGGTTCCGAAGTCTGTTGTTGATCCCTGTGATCCCAACTCATGGGTAGGATAGGTGGACAAGGGTCGGGAGGAGCCGACCTAGAAGGATTACGCTCCGGCGATCTGTGCGCTGAACGAGAACGGCGCCGAGAATCACTTCGACGATCTCATTCTTTATACGACGACGAACGCCGATCCTGTGAACTGTGAGGTGGGTAGGTGTAGCCGGCAGAAGAGCGGTAGTAAGGAAACCCTGAGTAAGGGAATCGGGGACGCTAGTTATAAGCGTCATGGTAGAACGGGTAGGTATCCCATCCTCTATGATGGGGCGCGTAGGTATCCCCCGCCGACGAGGTCCCGTGAGGGTAGCCGCTATGCTGGTAGTCAACGATGGATGACCGGGCTCTATCGTTAGTCAAAGATGATCGGGAGCGGGATTGATGACGCTCATGGAAACTCGATCGAGAATGCCGATCCTGTGAGTGAGATCTCCGATCCTGCGAACGTCGAACCCGTGAACAAGAATGCCGATCCTGTGGGCGAGTGCGCTGATCCCGGGAGCGGGAACACCGATCCTTGGAGTGGGAGCGCCGACCTTGTGAGCGAGAGCACCGATTCCAGGAGCGGGAATGCCGATCCTTGGAACGAGAGCGCCGATTGTGGGAGTGGGAAAGCCAATCAGTCGTCTTGGAGGGTGAACGTTGTACCAAAGTGTGACGATCTAAAATGACCAGAGCTGAAGTCATATCGACGACCGCATCTCTAGCCCCCAGGGGGGCCGCAGAGCTCGCTGAATCCAAGAGCGGGACTTTGAAAGGAATGGAGCAATCTGTCGCTGGTATAACGAGAGCAGGACCCGGGTTGATCAGACGGACCGAGCGCAAATCGACCTGCATATCTTGTGGAGTTGTAGACAGGTCGCGAGAGGACAAGTCGTCTATAAGGAAGCTGTCTGAGAGGGTGTCGTCTGTGACAGAAATTACCATTTCGACAGGATTGTCTTTAAGGCGTGATGAGCTGGTAATAGCTTTGGAATCCCCTACTTTGGAACGGCGATCGGCAATACGACGACGACAACGTTGCAGGTAAACATTAAAAGCCGAGTTAGTTAGGGAATGACATTCCGCACATCGGGAACCCAGGGTGCACTGTCCTCGACAATCGCAACATAATGAGTGGGGATACGACGTGGAATAGGTAGGTCTGCATTCTTTACAAGCAGGGCGTTGATTGTCCTTCTTTCCCATATTTTCCTATTTAAGAAACTCGAACAAACTAGCAAAGCACAATAATTCTGTGATGTTTTCCAAACACGTCGCCACACGGTGGCAATGAGAAAGAGAATGAATTGGTAGAGGCGCACACGTGGTCAGTTCAAGCAGGCACGGCTACACGAGAGGTACATAATTGACCTAGCTTTTGGATGTAACCATGGTGATGCAGGGGGGCTTGGGTGGCTATTTTTAGTTTTAGAAGTTGGAAACATGATTCAAGCACGTTCCCACAGGGGATCGAAGAAGAAGGGATAAATGCAAAGTGTGAGATAGGATAAGTTTAAAAATTAACATGTTATATTTCGGATTGCATTTTCTAAGTACACATTCTAGTACCAGTACATTTTTTGGGTTGAGTCACACATGGAATGCGAACCCACACTCTCACATTAAGGCACCTACCGGTAAACACCAGCACACAAAGTCAGCGACCTAACCCACTTTTTGGGGAAGCCTTGGTGGCTGAGTGGGTTAGGTTGATAACTTTGTGTGCTGGTGAGTAGGTGCCTTTCCCTGAGAGTGGGTGTCCTCTCCTAACAAGTACTTGAATTTGTACTTTACTAAGAAAGCGCAATCCCAAATATAAAGTACAGAAAAATATGTTTATAACGAACACGCTTATAACGAACTGACGGATATTACGAACTTAATTTTTGGTCCCGGCCATTTGCTGTATAGATGTTGTATATAGGCACAACGAACTACGGTTATAACAAACTAAAATTAGTGGTCCATTTGAGATCGTTATAACCATAGTTTACTGTATGTTAAATTGGACCCCTTTCTGAAAGGCATTGTCTTTTCATTGAACTCAAAAGTTTAAAATTATCAGGGACCCAGGTTTAAAAACAAGCTACCGAGTGGAGACCGAAAACAAACGTAGAAACATAAAAACAGCATTCTACTACAAGTGACGTAAGATCGTGCATGCTCAGAGGCCGGTAGTTACGAATAAATATGGAGTTCCCCAACAAAAATGAATTTGTTACCTCTTGAAGATCATGAACATGATGAAGCATTCGACTGTGTATTGTATTTTCTAAATTATTATGTACATAACCTACTTTTAAGTGGTACTAAATTATGAAATAGGAGCATTCATTCATTCATATGCATTTAGGTATCTTTCTACTCCAGTGGAGATACTCGCATAGGCACTGCGAGGTTTTCGCATTCTTTCTTAATTTTATCATACAGGATGTAGGTTTTGCATCCGGTAAATCAGTGTTCCTGAAGACTGTAGCACACTTACTTTGGCAGTCAGCAGCGCCTCTATATCCTTCCATCGTCTCATCTTAGCCCTGGCTCCCAGTGCACAGTGGAGAAACTGCTTGTCGGAGATCTGCCAACACAACACAGCTCAGTGTAACGGAATATCTCCCTGACACAATAGATCAATGTAAATACTCCTCTATGACACAACATGCATACAAACTAAAGCAACTTTTTCATATTACAAAAAGAATTTAAGAACAAGAATGTTTTGCATTACAAAGTACAACTGAACTATAATCCCATGTGTAAGCCATTAGGTAATACCAAAGATTATTTTATCAATCAACATGAACAAGGTATTTGAAACAAGACAATTAACACTGCATATTCATGTGAATGGAACAGAAAGCTATCTGGCACTGGGTGAACAATGATGTTTGCATCAGTTTCAATCTCATTAAAATCAGATCTTAGTTCTCGCTATCGCTAAACAAAGATCTGAGGACATCCCATTACGGGTCATGTCAGAACGACCGCTTACCAGATCATGAAAGTGACAGTCGGAATGTGTTTTCTAATCATGCAACCTTGAAAACGTTAACACAGTGTATCCCAGTTACGGCCTGTACGACTGATTCCGTCAAAATTATGGTCTATCTCTCACTTCCGAGGGATAAACATTTGAACGGAGGAGGCGTTGTACAGTACGTGGGAAGCATTGCCATACAATCTCAACCATATATTAGTCATTCCGGAATGTTCGTTTGTTCAGTTTTCATAATTTTAATCAGGAACTGTGTCAACATATTTTTCAAGCGTAGTCTGAAATGGAAGTCGCCAGGTTGAAACGAGTGCCGTAAAGCTGCTTTGTATTTCGCTGATGTCAACTTCTTCTTAGTCATTTCAGTTGTCAGTCAAAGTTCGCGAAAGGTCATTCTGACATGACCCGAAATGGGATGTCCTCAGATCTTTGTTTAGCGGCAGCGAGAACTTAGATCTGATTTTAATGAGATTGCATCAGTTTAGATGTGTAACTGTAAAATACTACAGACTTCTATACTCACATTGTGTCTGGCTTTCAAAGCTTGTGGACTGGCTAAAGAATTCTGAAACCACACACATTTCTCATTGACAATAATAAACATGCCAAAACTAATACAAAAGAATTGACATCAATATTTCTTTTACTTTTATGAAGGAATAAAAATGAACCCAGTGTGACACTGTGTAATCTGACTACAGCAGTGCCTGGGGCGCCGAGAGTGTATCTGACCAGGCAATGTGAATGGCATTTTAAACCAATCTCACCTAATCCCTTATTGTACTTGACGATAATCATGACTATTTGATTGCCACTATAATATTGGAAAAAAATCATTTGTGCTTCGGTTTAACCCACAGGATATCACTGTCTTGAAGCTGTGAACCCCAATTTCCTTATATTACAATAAAAAAGTAAATGTAGTATACTTGACACCAAACACTGAAAGTATATGCAGTATACTTGGCACAAGACACAAAGTATATGCAGTATACTTGGCACAAGACACAAAGTATATGCAGTATACTGGGCACAAGACACAGGAAGCACATGATGCTGTGTCAACCAACCTCTGAAAGGTCGTAGTGGTAAAGACAGAAGTAGTACAGGGTGGTTGTGACTGGCTGACCGAACAGGGTGGCTCGGCGGGGAAAGTCGCGGAAAATCTGGACCTGACCTGTTGCTTCGGCATGGGAATCATTTTCCTGCACATAAATGAAAAATAGACTTACATTCACATAATTCCATCAAAAATAGGAGATTTTGAAAAATGGTACAACTTAATCATTGTTAATGGACATTATGGAATTTGTTCCTCCCATGACCATGATAAATATACAACAGTTTAACATGGATACCTCACTCAGACACAGTGTACTGACCCCTATCTGACCAGTCCTTGTTTTCCCCTTAATGACAAGCACCAAAAGGGAACAACAAGTGCCATCTGGAATCTCAGGTACATTAAGTAGATAAACATTATGGATTTTCAGATTTGAGGGTGTTATTGTGTACTGTTCTACAAATTTTAAAAATAACTCGATTTTGACTGGTCAATCAGAGATTATCAAATCACAATAACCACCTGTGATTGAAACAGCCAATTCGATGTCCGTATCACAGAAGCTAATAGTTATACTTGGGCTTTGGCCTATTGACTATGGAACCAGTAATCCTACCTCAACTGGCCTCTGTCTCTCCAGCAGGTCTATCTGCTCCTGGAGTAGTGCTGCCTGGCGACCCAACTGGACTTCAGGCTGGAAGTGAGCTCTGCAACCACAACAACACGTTTCTCTCACCATTGCTCAATCCTTTGAGCTGTGGTCTCGTAACTGGACAGTATAGTTAAAACACATGACATCTGTAGATTACCTCACATCAAGTCAAATATTCCCTAGTATCATTGTCTGCCCACATGTACAAGTGAGTTAGTGAATTTAACACAGCAATACCCCAGCCACATCAAGGAAGCCTGTAAATTGTGAGTCTGAACCAGTAAACCACTGACTCCAAGCATGAGCTATGATCTATGTCAGTAGGGCTGATGACATGCAATCAACAGAGTCACAGAGATTGACACAGGTTGAATTTAGTCACCTCTAAGTCTTACTTCAAGCCCAGTCACCAGGTCGAATTTAGTCACCTCCCAAGTCTTACTGCAAGCCCAGTCACCAGGTCGAATTTAGTCACCTCCCAAGTCTTACTGCAAGCCCAGTCACCAGGTCGAATTTAGTCACCTCTAAGTCTTACTGCAAGACCAGTCACCAAGTCGAATTTAGTAACCTCTAAGTCTTACTGCAAACCTGGTCACCAGGTCGAATTTAGTCACCTCCCAAGTCTTACTGCAAATCTGGTTGCCAGGTCGAATTTAGTCACCTCTAAGTCTTACTGCAAGCCTGGTCACCAAGTCGAATTTAGTCACCTCTAAGTCTTACTGCAAGCCCAGACATTAGGTCGAATTTAGTCACCTCTAAGTCTTACTGCAAGCCTGGTCACCAGGTCGAATTAGGTCACCTCCAAGTCTTACTTCAAGCCTGGTCACCAGGTCGAATTTAGTCACCTCTACGTCTTACTGCAAGCCCAGTCACCAGGTCGAATTAAGTCACCTCCAAGTCTTACTTCAAGCCTGGTCACCAGGTCGAATTTAGTCACCTCTAAGTCTTACTGCAAGCCTGGTCACCAGGTCGAATTTAGTCACCTCTAAGTCTTACTGCAAGCCCAGTCACCGGGTTGAATTTAGTCACCTCTAAGTCTTACTGCAAGCCTGGTCACCAGGTCGAATTTAGTCACCTCCAAGTCTTACTGCAAACCTGGTTGTCAGGTCGAATTTAGACACCTCTAAGTCTTACTGCAAGCCCAGTCACCAGGTCGAATTTAGTCAGCTCCAAGTCTTACTGCAAGCCCAGTCACCAGGTCGAATTTAGTCACCTCTAAGTCTTACTGCAAGCCTGGTCACCAGGTCGAATTAAGTCACCTCTAAGTCTTACTGCAAGCCCAGTCACCAGGTCGAATGTAGTCACCTCCAAGTCTTACTGCAAGCCCAGTCACCAGGTCGAATTTAGTCACCGCTAATTCTTACTTCAAGCCTGGTCACCAGGTTGAATTTAGTCACCTCCAAGTCTTACTTCAAGCCCAGTCACCAGGTCGAATTTAGTCACATCTAATTTTTACTGCAAGCCTGGTCGCCATAGGTGCTTGTGTTCAAATAACAATATTTAGGATTTGAAATAGGGCATAATCTCTACTGATGAAATGGCAATTGTGTCTGTTCCTGCCATATAATCAGTGAGTTAGGAAGTAAACACTACTTTGAGCATGACTTAAGTTCCATCAGCTTAATGGAAGAGGAACATCACAAAGTCGTACCGATTTTACCAATAATTTGCCATCTTTGACTTTTTGGGATAGTACCCAAGATTTGCTCCAGAAATGAACACTTAGTCAAAGTTGTTAGCCAAGCTAACAAAAAAAATTACTTCTAAAAAATCTCAAACCTATCAAAAGGCACCAGTTCACCACTAGGCCTATTACTGTTTGGTGAAGAAACATTGTACAGTTTTCATTATTGCCATTTTCAGCTTTAAAAGTTGTTGCAAAAAACCTGACAATATTTCATCTTATAAATCCAAAACTATCAAAACGCACCAATTCACCACTAGACCTATCTATGTACCAGGTTTGGTGAAGAAATATTGTACGGTTTTCATTACTGCCATTTCCAGCCTAAGTCAAAGTCTAACAAATATTGGGATAACACTTTCTTAGTAAACTACAGATTCTAGTACTTTTGGGGGTTGAGTCCCATCCGGATTTCGAACCCACACTCTCAGAATGAGGCACCTAATCACCAGCACGCAAAGTCAGTGATCTAACCCACTCAGCCACTGAGGCATCCACAAATGAAAGTCCTACAACTGGTAGTCTAGATCACATGCTTTGTGTACCCCCCTGACAAGTGTAAATTGGCACGGCTCCCATAATGGAAAACATGAACACACAATACCCTTTAGAAAGTGGTCAAATGTAACACATGTTATGCCAAAGTCAACAATATTCTATCAAAATCATGAAGGACTATGAATGACTGAGTCTGGGCCAAGCTAACCAGTGGTCTGTAGCATGAGCAACAATCCACCATGTTGTCCAGCACGATCACCTAATCCACGGAACCACCTCTTTTAAACAGTTTACCAAGAAACTTTTTTGTCCTGAATCCCCTGCACCCCTCCATATTTCAACCAAAACTGAAAGATTTAATACACACAAATATATTTAATGTGTCCAATTTTCTTACCTGTAGCATGTCTTTAAGGTCGCAATTTTTATTGTAGGATCTTTAGACTGGCAGGCTATTTTGTACTTAAACATCTGAAACAGACATCAGCAAAAAAAATTATATCTACACATTATTATAATTATAGAAATTGACAAACTTAGCATAACACTCCTAAGACTTAAAATGCTTTAATGCGTCAAAGGTTCATTCTCTTTCTTCCGTATTAAAAGTGAACAAATGTGTGAATGTTGTTATACCCTGAAGTAAGAATGTCCCAGTGACATCACCAGATAAGGACAAGTCAGCTCAGGCAAACTGGTGGTTCAAAAACACTGTGCCGCTTATTATAGCTGGGATGTCCTTGTTCAGTAACTAGGTCAAGAACATACTCCCCAGTTTTCTGAGGGCAGACAGGAATATGACGTAACATATGACCATTTAAGGTGATAGCGGGAAATTTGATAAGTAAGTATTGACTGACCTTGTTTATTTTGAGCTTACAGCTTGTACATTAAATATTAGGCTGTTACTATTGTTATAGACATGTCATTGCGATGTAATTGCCTAAATTCCGTCTAGTTCGGAAATTTGAAAAAAATGTGACTGATCCATGGTTATGTCATTGACCATTTTCAGGACTCGTGTTTTGATCAAGGCATTATTTTACTCTTTCGTGACACATGAGTCCTCAGCAGGTGCAATTTTCACTCAACTCGAAGCTCAAGTGCTTTAATCAAACATGGCTGCAGTGACTGAGTAAAGAAAATCTGACATAGATCATCCAAACATGTATTGTGTTTCTTATGAGAACAGTAATATGAGATAAATATCACATACATGCTTCAATCTAATTAGTTTAAATCATTCCATACTCATTTGCATCCGACTGGACTAACAGTAGATGTTATTTCCTCCCATACTTAACTTAAGTGAGTTAGTTGGGTTTAATGCCGCTTTTAACAGTATTCCAGCCCGAAGTGATGCAGGTCTCAGATTTTTACCACTTCGGTGAAACCCACGTGGTGCTGACAAACCTAGAAACATAGGTTTCTGGCGCGCCCAAGGGACGCAACTCTGCACAGCCAACCGTGCCCCCACTTAACTACAAGCTTATATAGGACACAATAGTTTGCATCTGGCAAAACACTTCAGATACATGCATGTATATAAACTATATCACGTAATTGTTTTCAAATATTTCAACTCACCGAAGCTTCTTCTGATCTCCCCAGCATACTAGAATCAGAAATAGTGGCAGACATTGGACACTGACATCATGTCATGGAAACTATGATCATAAATGATCATAAATGGATTGATTCAATAATCCAAGAGAAGTGTCAGCCTAGTGCTGATTCCGCATTAAACATAACTTACTGATGATGCATTGATCTTGTGTGGCCATTTACTGATTTCACAATTCAGTTCTGTGAGGGTTACCCTTTGAGTTTCAATTACCCGGTAGGAAGCAATTAAGTCATGAGATTTGGTAGAGTCTCAACACAAAGAGTCATAAACCATTTCTCATATTCCAACCCCACTGTAACACATTATGGTTCCTACCCAAGAAAGTCGACCATCTGGGCGTAGTCATAGTGATGCTTTAGGTAGGACAGATAATGGTTGATAGCGACCGGGCGCCTCATCATTTCCAGGTTGAATAGTGATGCCTTAATGGTTTTCTTCACAAACAGAATTACCTGTAACAATAAAGGTAATAAGATGTGACATTTGAATATAAGTTGAAATACATACAAAAATGATACAAAATAGTACCTGTTAAAGTAACTATTAACTTAAGAGATAATAAATGTATCTAAAAACTTTTCCTGGTAACTCACAGCGATAATGGCATTCCCGTCGTGTGACTCTATGGCCTTGTCTAGCAGAGCCAGCTTGTCTTCTTTGGACTTGTACAGCTCAAACGTGTAGGCCTGAACAGAGCATGGGGCAGGGTAGAGTTTAGTTTCCTTGATAAATATTGCAGTAAACATGGAAGGAAGATGTACTTTCTAGGACACACTTAAAAATAAGGCTAAAAAGGCAAAACGTATCAGTACAAGTTAGTATTATTTTTATTTAACCACAGAAAAGACTTAACCCACTCCCTAGAAACCTCCATAGGAGATCGCGTCAGGTGAACTTTCCAGTCAGTCAATCTGTGACAAGGCCCCTAAATTCTCAGTTCAAGTCAGGGGAGCATTCATACAAGATATATCTGATTTCTGTATCTCAAAAATGAACATAAATGGAGAGTTCTGAATGCAAACAAATATAGCTGTTCTATTCTATTGTTGTGGAAATATTTTATATCCTGTCAAATCTGAGCGCTATGGCATATAGACTTGAAAAGGTGACTTCCCATGGAGGTGTTCTTTACATCTTGACACAGAGAGGTATTGTGTTGGAGTAACAGATTTGATCTTAATGAGACTGACATCACACAAGCCTGTTGCCTGCTGAAGACTATGTGTACCTGTCCAAGCACCATGTTCCTGATTGTATCACCCACTGGCTGCTTCTTCCACCGCTCCCTCTTGGCAATCTGAAGCAAGCACAACCTGTATACTAGGAGCCATCTGGACTTACTGAATGCATGCATAAGGAATAGACACAGTATGAAGGCTTACTAGTTATTTCCCACAAGCTTGAAAACATGATGAATGGGGCTTATATATTGTATCCATGTGGAGAATTGTACATGGGCATCAGCATGACAAAATACCCATTAACCATTAGGATAAAACATGATAAAATACTGCCCCTCTTTTGACAAACAATGTATCAAGTAGGAGACAGGTATCATCGAAAATGAATATAAATGGGGAGTTCTGAATGAAAAAAATAAAGCTCTTCTATTATATTGTGGATACATTGAAGACGAATATAAATGGGGAGTTCTGAATGCAAAAATATATAGTTCTTCTATTATATCTTACAACCTGTCAATTCTGAGTGCTGAGTCATATACACTAGACTTCCTATGGAGATGTATGAGATGTATGATCAGACATCACTCACCTGTAGTTCTTTCCTCAGGAAGATGATTTCCTTCTGGAGTTTATCAAGATAAGCTGATGTTGGCTGCTTTTTCCCCGGTGTTGAGGCGTCTCTAACAACTACAACATGTACATGTCCACATTCACACCTGGGGTCGAGAACTATAGGGTCCTGTAGTAGACTCAGTTTACAAACATTAACTGTTTTAGTCTTAAAACAGCACATCTGTTTAATGTCGATTGAAAGCAGAAATCATTACAGGCAATACATGTTTCAAACTTTTGAGAAACCAACAAGACAAGGCATGGTACTGACAGACCAAGAATCATAATCAAGGATTCCCAACCTGGGAATTGCCATTTTATTTTTTATTGTAAACTAAAACAGTGTGTATTTTAATATAATGTGTTTACCATTCATAGATCTAGACATTCTTGGTTAACCATTGCATGTCATTTTGGAGGTCACCTCGTAACACTTACGAGCCATCTATAAAGCGAACCCACGCACAAGACAACCCCCCTGTACAAGCCTATAAAATTGATGCTAATTTATATACCCCATCTATAAAGCGAGTCGGAATGAAGCACGTCACCAGCGCATACACAATCCCTACATTTGAAATACAAACGTGTTTGTCTTCCGCAGAATAAAATTACATCGTTTCCCTTCAGCAATCTGGGAAATGAACAGATCATAACAATACAACTTGGTCAATACTAATTTAAAAGTTGAGATAAAAAAACACTAGACATAATCATTTACCGATTAAATTGTATTTCCTGTTCAGACAGGCATTGTTTTATATGCAGAGATTAAGATTACCGTGCAAATTTTCTCGTAAACTAAGCCTGAAGTAGCAATCAGCTGTACACACGTTTCTCGGAATCTACCGGTGATTTGGTTAATAATTACCTAATAATATAACTTCAAAAACAGAATTTTTATACCATAATCGAAAGAGCTTGTATGCCTAAAGTTACCATAAAAAATTCAGTTAAAATGCAAATACTTATTGGTACAGATGTACAGTAGTGGTATCTGTCATTAATATATCGTTCCACATAGTAAACACTGATGTCCAGTCAGCGTAGTCAGTGTCTCTAATGGACGAGGAGGCATGTGGGATATTCAAACACTCACTTACCGTCCTCTATACTTGGATCACTGACCCCTCGACTCATTTGCACCTTGTTCACCCCAAACTGGACAACATTTCCTGCAATAGTGACATAACAATATTGAACACGGCTGTTGTCTCTGCATTAAGCAAGGCAATGAGAACAATAACAACAGCTTGTCGAGTTAGCACGGTTACTGACAGCCCATATCATGTTCTACAGGTTCAGTCACTGTTCAAAGGAATTCTTCTATTTTCTCTGAAAAGTTGAGCTGAACAATTAACTTTCAGTCCTACACAAATTCTGTGATCACAAAAAGATTGCAGAAACTGAACTTACTGCAGAATTGCAGAAAAGTCACAGATTTTGTCCTTTTTTATCAATCAATGCACTAATTTATATCATTATCAAGCTTTTTTTATCAGATTTTGCACTCGAGAGATGCCCAAACATTTAATAAGTGATTAAAACATACAAAATGTGAACCTTATATTATGACTACATAAACTATGTCTACATCTTAGCATAAATAAATATCAGAATCACTATGCATATTTTTGTGCACAATTGTATGTCTTATCCAATGATAACTGTTTAAAATGACAGTTTGTGGAATTATTTCGTTTTGGATTTTGATTTCTTATCATTTTTTAGGGGGAAATGGTCATGTCTTACAACAGAATTTACCACAGAATTTTGTAATTTTAGTCACAGAAGTTTGGTCATTTTACCACAGAATTTTGATAATTTGACTGCAGAATTTGTCAGGGACTGAACTATATACCCACAGCAAAATGTGTGTCATGACATCCATTGAACAATTACTTTGGGGGTATATATTCATATATAACACCCCACACTAAATATAAAATGGTCCCCTAGTAAATGTGAACTGTCACACACTGTAACCACTCACCATTGTCACACACTGTAATCACTCAACACTGTCACACACTGTAATCACTCAACACTGTCACACACTGTAACCACTCAACAATGTCACACACTGTAATCACTCAACACTGTCACACACTGTTACCACTCACCATTGTCAAACACTGTAATCACTCCACACTGTCACACACTGTAATCACTCAACACTGTCACACACTGTAATCACTCACCATTGTCACACACTGTAATCACTCAACACTGTCACACACTGTAATCACTCAACACTGTCACAAACTGTAATCACTCAACACTGTCACACACTGTAACCACTAACCATTGTCACACACTGTAACCACTCCACACTGTCACACACTGTAATTACTCAACACTGTCACACACTGTAATCAATCACCATTGTCACACACTGTAATCACTCAACACTGTCACACACTAATCACTCAACACTGTCACGAACTGTCACGAACTGTAACCACTGGACACTGTCACATACAGTAAAACCACTTGATCCTCATTTTCACATACCAGCAGACATCCTTTAAACATGTTAGAATGGTTAGGAAACCAAAATATGTCTTATATACCAATTATATACATGTATATACTACTCAAAAGAAGTTAAAGAATACTCAATTATTTCATATTACTATAGAACATGACAGATTAAGCACAGAGATATGAAAGAATCAGGTGTTATCTTACTTCATCTTAGCACTGTATATTACTGTATGTTATCAGGTTAAGTACAGATGATAATGAAGCAGGATTAAATTAACTTTGTTCCTTAATGCAACATGCAATAATGGTCATTCATTATTTACCACCAAGGCTCTGAGATCGGTTGTGAGACATGCTGGCTGGTTTATCATATTTTCCATATGAAGCTGATGGTGCAGAGGGAGGGAGTGTGGTGGTTCGAGCAGCATTGGAGGAAATTGGAACAGCCAGGTTTGAGAGATCAGGAGCATTAGAAGCTGATTTGTGGTTGTCTGTCCAGAGCAAAAACAAGCCATTCTTTCAATATGTTCAGTATTACATCAAAGTGTAACAATACTTGGTAACATGATGCAGTGGGATAAGCATGGTATTATTATATTAAGAATGATACTACTTTCCATAAACCATTCCTCAAACTGCATGTGCAAAATATATTAACATTATAAATGCACCAAAGTCTTAATTCATTGCCTAATGATCTAATATATTGTAATAACAATAACTATGGTATGTCTTTTGGAAGTTAAGTGTGCCAACAAGAAGAATACTTTTGAACCATCTCTGAATGTCAGTTCACCAAGAGCTAGATAAATGAGCAGCTGTCCTCTGGAAGGTTTGCCATTTTTTCCCTTTTCAATTCCTAAATCCCCTGGTTTATTTTATGGATCATTCTAATTTCTGTTCAATAAGCATAGTCATATGGTCAACCTTTGCCCTGTATTCAGTTGTGTGAAAGCCCATTTGCAACTGGCTTCATATAATATTAAGTAACATATTCACATTGAAGGTACTTTCTAAAAAATAAAATCATTTTTAAGTGGGCCCTTCATTGCACCGGGAACTTATTTTAACTGTGCCAGTTAGAATCTAACCCTAATTTTGATACGCAAGCACTTTCGCACCCTATATGTCATGATGAATGAACTGCACTGAGCCACCATGTATTGTTACACCTCTTCAAGGAAATAGTATCTTACTCCCACTAGTGGCTGGTGAGGGTACCATGGTGCCTGTCTTTGTGTTACCTTAATATTAGAGAAATGTAGAACATTTATTTGGCGATAATCTTCTGTCAAACACCACATGTACCATTTGTTGACATGTTAAGACAGTATCACATTGATGAGATATAGTGTTTCTGTAATAAATAATTAAGTAAGTGTTAACTATTCACATTACCATGATTACCTTTGTAATATAAGCCTCTTTCCATATCTATGTTATCTAACCAAGAAACATTAACAATTGTTTCCTTGAACATGTTGAAGGGAAGCATCATGACCAATCCATGGCGAAGAGTCTACAAGCCCCAACTGGTATTTTACATCAGTTCATTCATTTTAGAGTTAATATATGATTTTTATTAAAACATTGTACATGACAGAAAATTAGACTTGGGATTCAGACTAGTGGATGAAGTTGATGACAGCATCACCATGACAAAGAAACATATATCCTCGTTTTATGGGTTTTTCAGCCTCTAAGAAGTAATTCTGATTATGTGTCTTAAAAACAATCCCAATACACTAAACTTAAGTCATACATATCAGAACACTTATATCTGTCAGCACCTGGATGGCCAAATAACCATGTCTTGTTAATTTTATAGTTATACCAGTAATGCCCCGTTGAGCAGGATGAATCGATCAAACGCCATCTTCTTACCGTCACATGATATCGAGCCCCTCCATTACAGTCAAGTTAAAAATAGGTGCACAACATATCAGTCACATAACTTTACATAAACTGATACAGGAAGTATCAAAAATAGAAGCCGATATGTTATTAGAGCATAAAATTGTTCTGAAGCATAATTATCATTGGATCAACTTAGATTAAAATGTGCATTCGTTTAAAAAGTAAGTTTTGAGGTATGTGAGTGAGTGAGTTTAAACAGTATTTCAGTTATATCATGGCGTGTCAGCTCGACGTGGGAGGAAAACCCAAAGTTATGGAGGCCTGAGATGTTTACCACTTTGGTGAAACCCATGAGCACGGGTATGGTGCTGACAAACCTAGAAACATAATCAGGGCGAACCGGGATTCGAACCCACAATTATAGGTTTCTGGCATGCCCAAGAGACGCAACTGCCTACCTCGATTACTTCATAAGTGCATGGCCAATGGGCGAGGCTCGAAAACATGTGGCATGGGATTATAGCCGGAATGACAAACTTTTCAGAAACAAATCGTGTCTATCAACATGATCAATGCTAATTCATCTCACTTTTCTGAATTGGTTATCATGGTGACAATAAGAACCAAGGCTACCTACTATATCTAACCACTGGATCTCCCTGCCAGTTGACCAAGTCAAATTCCTCCTCATCTTCATCATCAATAGTTTCTGATGTTGTCAGAATCTTCTTTGCAGTTTCAAAACTAACCTAAACATAAAGGCAGGTTCCATGAGCAGACTACTAACCATTTCAGAAATAAAGACCAGAGCTCCAGATAAGCTGCGTACCTGCGTAAAATACGCATCAGAAATGCAGAAATACGCAGTAAAATAAATTCCAAACGTATCAAATACGCAACGAACATTACAGATACACCACAAAAATAAAACGTGTGTGTATCATCAAAATATTGTGAAGTAACCCTGCGTATTCGATAGGCAAATCAGCAACGTATTTTGAGATTATAAACGGGCATTCCGTCAACCTTGCCAAACTCCACGATGACAGTTACATCATGATCATTTGCCATCACACTTTCTTGTGGAAGTATCGTGGTATTTTGGAGTCCTATAAAGCTCTCGAACCCACACGACACCAGCTTGCAGGGACTAGATGAATAGTGTTTTTAAATATTTAACTTAAATACCCACATGTATAAAAACTAGTGGGTAACAGAAATTTGAATACCCAGATAGAATTACTGATACCCAATGATTTTAAAATGCATGGGTAAAATACCCACAACAACGAAAGCTTATCTGGAGCTCTGAAAGACTTACTATTAAACCTAGTCAATGATGAACAAACAGCCAGTGAAGGTCATTCAAAGCAGCTGCCAGCAATATTCCAGTTGTATCACCACAGCCAGGGAATACTCGAGCGGTGACTAGACAAATCAGTGACTGCTATCAAGAGCAACAATACACACCACTGGAGCACAATGACACAAAGTTACCATCTGATCAATATGGGTAACACCTTAAGTGAGTGAGTGAGTATAGTTTTACGCCGCTTTTAGCAATATTCCAGCAATATCACGGCGGGGGACACCAGAAATGGGCTTCACACATTGTACCCATGTCAGGAATCGAACCCGGGTCTTCGGCGTGACGAGCGAGAGCTTTTACCACTAGGCTACCCGACCGCCCCCTAACACCTTAAGAAGAATATACCGGTAGGTGAATGGATATCATCATATTAAATGTTCTGTGATGGGATTCAAACCAAGCGCTTTTTTATCCATTGTCGGATGCCTTATCCACATGACCAAATATGTGCAGGTTTTAACCTTGTAAGCAGGCTGACAAGGCAAGGATGTGGGATGACTCCACACCTTGCTACACTTTCATTCATTGCACATCACATATTTCGGGCAAACTGTAATTACAATGTCAAGTGCCAAAGTAGAACAAAAGGAACTTATGACATTATGAAATTTGTGTGACATTCCCACTTGATTGAATTGAGTGAAACAAGTGCATTAATTGTGACTAAGAAGGAACAATTTACTTACATCATCGTCAAAAATATTTCTCCTACTTGGACCTTTCCTTGCTGAGGAATCACCCCAGTAGTCATCAGCATCCTCGGATGGCTGTAGGCAGATAAATAACATGGATTTTATGTGCATACATCCATCAAAAATGCATTTTGAGACACCAATTTCAGCTGCCTTACTAAAATAACTGTGAGTTTTGGGAGCTTTCCCCCCCAAAATACTGTTTAGTATTTTCTTCATGATCTTTGTCTGAAATCCTTACCATTTGCTAACTATTAATGAGGGCAATGGAAGGTAGTTCCGGCTAAAAACGTTAAATTCCCTCAAGTGAAATACCTATTCTACTTGCAGATTAAACACTATGTTTTTGTTGAAAAGTGGCCTCTATGCGTGTCACAGATGAGGATGTCACACGCCATTATGGAACTTCTATTTAGATGGCCAATCTTCAATGATTATGAATTGCTTTGATAGTCAGTTTTGAGGATTAATCATATTACACCATACAAATGCAGGGGGCTATATTAGTAGCGTGGCAGGTGTTCAGTAATAAGCATGTGTATCGTAGCGTCTTAGCCTTTTGACGTTTCTTAGACCGGTTGTGTTTGTTCATCTTAAGGCAACTGTAAAGTTTATTGTTTTTACGGTTATAAATCCACGGAAATCCACAAACTCACACATACCTAGGACTGCGGAAGTTTTTCGACGTTGTGAGACAATATGGTATATTACAGTTACTGTTTCACATAGCATTAGGCCTGATCTCTGGCAATAACTTAAAACGCTCCTCTTTAGGCACTTAATTTATATGTATTGGTCCGCAATCCTCACAGAGGTTGCGCCCCTACCAAAGCATTTAATCACGCATTTGAAGTGCATACTGATACAGAGCGCGTCAGTACAATGATCATGAGCCTGATTCGTACGAGTGCGGAGTGGTGCAGATTGCAGGTGTGCTCACCTCTCATCTACAAACCAGGCATAGCTGAAACGCGAGATGGTACATACGTTTTCACGTAAGAGTACTCATTGCATGTTAATTATTGGGTGAGTAAATACAGACTCTTCGTAAGGCAGTATGCAATGCATTACTGCATCACCTCATCAATATACCTTTCTCGTAGCGGCCATTTTCGTTTTCAGCGCCGCCTGGTGGAGAGGACAGTAAGCTTGTTTAAAAGCCGGACGAAGTCAGTTTCTTAAGGGACATTCACACGGTACAACTAGTCAGCATCTAACCTTTGTTGGTATAATTTTCGATTCATAGTATGAAAATTTACATATCTGCATTAAGTACGAACATGTATTGGAAACAGTTCTGACTTTTTATGTTTTAAACCATGTTTATGCGATTCAAAATGATTTTGTTCACATAATTTATATCTAGGTGTACAAAATAAAATTGTCTATCAAACATTCGTATACATACAAAATTACAAATCCTACCATGAATTCGTGAATAAAATAAAATCACAATAAAGTTAGACATAACCAATGTGAAATAGAAAAAAATACGTCTGATGTTATTACAGCTTCACTGCGTTCTGCGAACTACGCGTTCCGTTTCAAATGAAATTTAGAGAATATATACTGAACCAAATTAAAAACTTCACAATCCAAAAATTTTAATATTTTGACCAGTTATCATTGTGGGCCCTTATTGTGTATTTAAACAGTAATCGCCACGTATTGTCTTCAGATAACACCCGTTTTTGTGCAGGTGAATCGATCAAAATCATGTACACAGCACTATAGTGGCAAAAGTGTTTTTTCACGTGCAACTGGTCACGTGGCCATAATACCGCACGTGTTTTCAGCCATACTTGTTAGCAGTCATTAACAAAAACAGAAAAACACAAGAAAACAAAAGTCTTTACGGACATTTGTCATGCCACGTCTTTCAAATGTGCAACGTGAACGTGCCATCGGCATCTTGCAGACGGGAACGTCCGTAGCTGAAGTCGCAAGGACGATGGGTTGTAGTCGACGGACTGTTTATGATTTAGAGACGGATCTACAGAAAACGTGTACCACCGCTGATCGCTCTCGGCCAGGTCGACCACGTGTGACGTCACATGCAGAGGATCGTCAGATTGTCTTACGTCACCGCCGTAACCGATTTTTGACGGCTACATCAACCAGAAATGAACTGTTTAGGGGTAGACTGAGTGCGCAAACTGTTCGAAACCGTCTGAGAACTGCTCACCTTCAAGCACGACGGCCATACTGCGGGCCGATTCTGACTCAATTACACAGACGTCAACGTCAATTGTGGGCACAGCGACACTTACGATGGACTCAGAGTCGTCTTCAGTGATGAATCCCGATTTAATCTTCGATTTGCTGATGGTAGGGCGAGGGTGTGGAGGCGCCGTCATGAACGTTACGCCCAGTGTTGTGTACAGGAAGTTGACGGATTTCGAGGCGGAAGTGTCATGGTGTGGGGTGCTTTCTGTGGCAATGCACGTTCCAGGCTTCTTTTCATCCGTGGCAACCTCAACGCTGCTGCTTACCGCGACCAGGTACTGGCACCAGAACGTCTGCGTTTTATGGCAGCACATGGACCCGGTTTGATCTTCCAACACGACAATGCCAGACCCGTCACAGCAATTTTGACAGGGAATTTCCTTCAGAATGCGGGAGTCAACGTCATGGACTGGCCGTCAAGGTCTCCTGACCTCAATCCCATCGAACACGTCTGGGATGCTCTTGGCAGAAGTCTGCGCACTCTCCAGAACCAACCACAGAATTTGCAAGATCTTAGCACCATTTTGCAGCAACAATGGCGTCGTCTTCCCAGTCATGTGTTCACAAGCATCACAAGGTCCATGCGGAGGCGTTGTGTGGCAGTTGTCAACGCACATGGTGGCCATACACGCTACTGAACTTGTGTGCCATCAGATTCTCGTGCTTGGGACTTATGATTTAAACTGTTGATGTTATTATTGAATACCGTAGGTGCTTGCAACAAATTATTGTTACCACCGTTAATTAAAATCCTTCTTTGGACTTTAATGATTAAAAATTACCTTCTCTGATACATGTGTCCGTTGTATATCATATATGGGATTACTTTTAAAAATGTGAAGTTTTTAATTTGACTCAGTATATATCAATTAGGCCTAACATTAATCTAATTTTCAAACACATTGGGTTTATCTCCTAATTCATGTATATATGTACGCGATTATATCATGCTTACGATTTTGTTTCAGAGAATAAATCTAAATTATAAGTACTTTGTTTTATCTGCAAGTAGAATAGATATTTCACTCGAGAGAAGTAACGTTTTTATCCGGAACTGCCTTCCGTTGGCCTCACTAATAGCAAGGATTTCAGACTAAGATCATTTAGAAAATAAAAAACCCCAGAACATTTCCCTTTTCTTTTTCTCATCCCTAGCGTAGAAAAAATTGTATTTCCAGCCGTGTGAATATCAATTTTGTCCTTGTCACTCAATGAGATAAACACGAGAGGCCATATATCACACAGCGCAGCTTCCTGCATATGTTTTCACTTTCTTAGATTTGAAAAAAATCGAAAAAGAATTGGGAAAGATTGGGAATGAACACAGTCAAAAGACTATTATTTCCAAACATTCATCCGATCTGTCTCATGAAAATGCCTATATGTTTAATGACAAACTGTGAGAAGGTTTATTTGATAAAGATTGGAAAAGTGACCCAAGCTTCAATATTTTTGTACCGCCTTGAAAATTGAAAATATGAGACTGTCTTGAAGGATTACCTAATGTGCGCGGCTGACTCGTCAAATAAGGTAATACAATTCTTTTCAACATAGTGTAAAAGTCTGGAAGGTAATTTAAGGTACCGACGTTTACTACAATATCTGAAAAACTATCGGACCTACTCTAGTCAAAGTTGGTATGAGATTATTAAACAGTCATACATAACTGGATATTACATTTAAAGACAATCGGTGCATGAATAAAAAATCTGTCTATTTAGCTATCACTATATTTCATCAACAACCAGACCTGTTCGTCACGGGTGGAACGAGCATTCATTGAAACAGCCATCTGCATAATGCTACCCTTGCGTCACAGGGCCATATGACACAGTTGAACCAATCAACTCAACTCGAAAGGGTGCACGGGAATCACGCACGCACGAAAACGGTGTGAGCGTTGGGCGTCTCAACGTGCGTGATTCCCACTGTGGCACTTTCTGGTAGCGTCCGGTTATTGATTTACTACATCGGTTACGCCCCTTTGTTGTCAGCGCTTGAGATAGACTATGAATCAACCGCTATTATTATACATTACTTTCTTACACGTTGAGATGTCAAATTAATGTAACCAAACCCAGCCCTCTTTATTTAGGAATAGCCATGGCAGTGTATACGTGGGGGTTTGGTAAAGCTGGACAACTTGGAACCAGCACAGCAAGCACATCCCACACCCCTCAACTGCTGAAATGCGGGGATGTGATTGGCCAAGCGAGCGTCAGTCAGATTTCAAGCGGTGGGTTGCACATATGCTGTTTGACGGATGATGGCCGGGTCATGAGTTTCGGATGTGGGAAGCATGGTCGCCTTGGCAGTGGAAATGATGAAGATAAACTATCTCCTTCGCCTGTTAAGTTCCCGCACAATACTAAAATCGTTCAGGTACGTTACTGATTGCAAAACAACAAAATTAACGCCCTGTCTTTCTGTCCAAATTACCAAAGTTAATATAATAACTGTGAGCATGGTTAATTATGCTAAATGACTGGAAATTGAAAAAGATATAACACATCTGAAGCTATGTCAACAGGCATAAGTTTCCAGGGGCACGCCTTTTTGCATATGGTCAAATATATTCGTTATGCAGAGTTGATTCCCTCAGTCTAGCCAGGATCCGCTAATCAAAGCTTAGGTTTGAATCGTATTAGCAATCGTCCTGCTTGATCCTTTTGTTTTGGCGTCACCATACCGTGCTCTTCCGTTACATGTTGGGCTTTTCCCCCACATTAAGCTGATTTAACGCTGTGATACAGTAAAAATACTAGTCTGTTAAAAAATTCATGGCGGCGTAAAATTCTAATTGTCGCTGTGAACTGTATATACACGTAATTCCAATTTTCCCATTTTATTTGGTCAAAATATCGACAAATATTCAGGAGCACATATTTATTTATAACTACACCCTTGAAAGTTGCTACATCTCTCCTTTCGAATAGCTAGATTAGTGTATCTAAATAGAATTATGAAATGTATGTATACACCGTGAGACCATTTGAAGTTTTATTTTCCTGTAAATGCTGGACAACGATCTCTCACAAAATCTCTGAAATACTGATCAAAGCTGCATTACCTCAGACCTACTCACTCACTAGCGTAGCAGTAACCCATGCTTGTCGTAAGAGGCGACTATAGCGGATCGGGTGGTCGGGCTCGCTGACTTGGTTGTGTCATGGTATCCCAGTTGCTTAGATCGATGTTCATGATGTTAATCAGTGGATTGTCTAGTCCAGACTCGATTATTTACAGACCGCCGTCATATAGCTTGAATAGTGCTGAACGTGGCGTTTAACAAACAAACATTAATTTTCTCTTTACCGTCAGGTTTCCTGTGGGTCATGGCATGGAGCGGCTGTCTCAGAGGACGGTCAGCTGTTTACTTGGGGGTACCCGAGAGCTTGTGGAGTATCTGGCATCATTCCCGACCCCCGAGGAATCCTGACTCCTATCCCTGTCCCAAGTTTTACCCCAGGTCGACTTTCTGGCGTTTCTTGTGGTCACAACTATACTCTAGCGTGGACCAACAGCGGTCAGGCATTCTCCTGGGGGTGCGGCCGACATGGCGTTCTGGGACACGGCACAGAGGAAGACTCCCCCACCCCAAGAGAAATAGAGGTTCTGAGTGACAAAGGCGTAGCTTTCATGGACGCAGGGTATGCTCATTGCGGAGCAGTTACCAAAGACGGTGCCGTGTACATGTTTGGCAAAGGTGCAGATGGAGCTCTGGGTTTGAAGGAGAAAACGCTCGGCAATAACCTAGTTCCGACCAAAGTAAATAGCATCAAAGGCGTTGACGTGGTTGAAATAAGCTGTAGTGTAGGGGAACACCACGGCCACACCCTTGCCGTCACCAGGGACGGGCAGGTATACTCGTGGGGGGATGGGTACAAGGGTAAACTCGGAACTGGGGACCAAGAACCCCGGTTTGAACCCACAAAGATCCCGCCGTCCTCTTTCCAGAACGAGGCAATCGCACATGTTGGGTCGGGTGGAATTCACAGTTCGGCTGTCAGTGTGTCGGGACGGGTGTTCACGTGGGGGTGTGGTAGTGACGGCAGGTTAGGTCATCCCGAGGGCAAGGGTCACAGGTACCTGTTCCGTTCAGATGTTCCCAAACAAGTGGAATTCTTCAAGCCGAATCAACATGCAGAAATGGTGAAGTGTTCCTACTACCATACTGTTGCTTTAGTTAACGAGGTAAAGCGGTAACATATATGTATTGACTGATGTGTAATGTACATCCTTGTACATCCATGTATTGTCCAAGACATTAATGCCTAATAGGGCAGCCCATAATCATCCACGTCCAGAGCTCGAGATCTGCCCAGCGTCAATTTTATCAATCGCTGTGAAATAGGATTCGCGTCAGAACAGACTCCCTTTGAAGATGTCAACATTTTCACGTGTATGTATGTCTAAAAATACCCAATCATATATATCCTACATTGAATTTTTACAATTGACCTTTATTGGTCGATGTTCAGACATATGTACACCATGAATTCAGTGAAAATGACAAATACGTCCGACAAGAAATCGGAAACACTGCATCCTTTACTGTATTACCCAACAAATAGTACGTTTGGATATCTGAGTGATGATGCATTTCCTCAAATAGAAACAAAGCAATGTATGTTTTGCATGACAAACACGTGTACAGTTGTGATGTTGTCTACATCAAGTTTCCCTTATGTCGAGAAATAATTCAGCAGGTCCAGCGTTGGGAGCCTACAACTGCCACAACTTTGAGGTACAATCGACGTGTTCTCTGCGACGTGAGGTGGGGTGTGTGACACTGGGTCTTACATCCCATTTAAGATTACTGCACTTTCTTATATACCTCTCTTTATGCCAATTTTTCAAAGAGCGTCATACGACTCTCGATCAAAAGTTGTTTCATCAGGGTTACAACATTCAAGGCCTCAGTAAAACTTTCAGAACGTTTTATGGTATATATATATATGTGGAGGACATTTCCTAAATTGACGCATCAATGACAAAAAGATATCTGATGCAATTCCCTATTATGAATTGTACCGTATGTTCATGTGTTTTCTCAGGTGAAAAATTGACTTGTCTTTGCATGTTTTTGTGACAGGTGCTACCGGTGGATACATAAACACCTGCCTATGATATAGTCATATTGGTACAGTGCACCGTAGATAGTTCGTAGCTTTCATTAATATTACATAGATTGTTTTATGAATTGGTCATTGCTGAGAGGTATGCTGTCGGTGCCCTGACATATGAGATAGTATAACTGCATAGAGTGATACCTCGCTAACTCGAACTCCATTGAATTGGGGGCGGTCGGGTAGCCTAGTGGTTAAAGCGTTCGCTCGTCACGCCGAAGACCCGGGTTCGATTCCCGACATGGGTACAATATGTGAAGCCCTTTTCTGGTGTCCCCCGCCGTGATATTGGTGGAACATTGCTAAAAGCGGCGTAAAACCGTAGTGCTTCGCGACTTGAAACAATCTGAACAAAGCCAATGTGTACCTTGTACAAAACATGACCTGAAAATATTCATTTTTATACCTTTTCTCTATTCACGCCTCCTGTGCATACACACGATAAGCACAACGTAAGTCACGTATTCCGCTTCAAGTGATTTATTTTCGTATGTATAAAAGTTCAATACTGTTTTTTCCATAGCACTTCATGTGATGGGTCCCTAACTGCTGTCGTTCTTGGCAGTTGTCGCCTCATAGACCTTGCTTCAATCTCGGGATCCACCTGAATGGAACAAAAATAAGCATAGGGTCAACGAGCTGCTGGTATGGGTATCAATTATACTTCTGTACTACCCTTTACATTCCATTTTACTGTGAGTCCTTCAAGCACTATAAATTCGAATTCTGATGTGTACACATGTTTGTTAAAGATCATTGTGTATTGAACTATTGTTGTGATCTTTTACAGTTTTTTTTTGCACATTTTGTCCCAATCTGAGGAGGTGAAATTAAATCCGAATATTTATTGTTGTTTTAGAGGGATAGGCATGGCCTCTTCATTCGAATACAATAAAATACTTATTCGCCAGACTGCATTATTTACACACCGCCTTTATATAGCAGGAATATTGCTGAGTGCGGCCTTAAACAACACCAAACATCCACACAAGACCATGAGGTATTGACGACCATGTGTTCCGTGTAGACAGCAACTATTCTGAGTTTCCCATACACGTCAACAGTAATGCTATTAGTAAAGCGGATTTCAAGTCGTTAATTCATTATTAAAACTCACTTTGAAAACGTTACCTCACTATCCCGTTTTCCTAAACCTATCGTGACCTTGACCTTCACTACTGCCAATGGAGGAGCGGCTCAACCATTTCATGAGTTGTTTTCTAATTTGTCGATTCCATTTTTTGTTGTTGTCCCGTCTCATTTTATTGTGTACAGTTGCATAGATACGAGCTACTGGGGTGGGCACGACCTATGTAAAGACTACACACCTTGGTACCCATGACACCGGGATGTTGTGTTCACCAGCGACATCTGCATGTTTCACAACCACGGCGATTCTTCCTGTAACCGTTTGGGCAGTGCCTGCGGCATTTCACTTCCCGGCAGATCTCTAAACAGATGGAGCCACAAAGTGAAAGAAAGAGTACAATCGAGAAGATTTCTACGAAAGTATGAACGAGAATGTCTTGGTACGGGACATGAACACTGTGTCAAAACGCAACACCGTAACTGCGCCATCACAGCTATGTACGCTCGGAATTTACTCTCCGACAGCATGGGCGGAACCAGGTTATCCACGTTTTTTTCCAAGTATCGGTTTACGCCGAGGTTCTTACCTGGCCCGCATTACTTGTGATTGCGCATCTTGTGATCATTTCCCGTTAAACGAAATGATAAAACACTTTAGTAGATTGACAATGCATGTAAGTCCCACTCAGGTACCGATCCCTCATAGACTTTGTACAAAGCAATTACATACTTATGGAGCAAATGGTTGCTTCTTCATCCATGTTAGTAGCATCAAACAATGAAACGGTAACGTAAGTTACCAACTGTGTACGATCGCTCGGTGTATTAAGGGGTGGGGAGTGCAATTAACTCACCGATACATACTTGTTTCCTCAACCATGTGAGGTTCGTGCACGTGTGTGTGTGTGGCGACTAGTGCCGACTTTTTAGTGCTAGCTCACTGAGATACCATGCCGCAGTTTGACATGAAAACGCCACTCAGACACAGTATACTGACTCCGAGCCGACCAGTCCTTGTTTTAGCCCCTTAATGCCGAGCACCAGACAGGGTAACAACAAGTACCATCTTTTAACGTCTTTTGGTATGACGCGGCCGGGGATCGAACCTCGGACATTCCGCTCACGGGCGCATCCTTTACCTTGTATAAATCATGTTATGTGTTAACTTACTCTCCGGTCTTGGCCAGTAGCACCTGCATTTGTCACATCCGTTGCTGTCCTTGTGGAAGCCGAAGGGGCAATTCTTGTTGCACTGAATGGGAGAGCAGTTGTTGGACAAACTGGAAGAAGCTGCAGAAAAGCAAAACAAATGATAATGAGTGAGTGAGGGAACTGGATGTCGTTCTGCAACGGTAGGTTTATCACACTGGATTACGCATGTTCGGGCCTGTAGCATATTGATGCTTATCATTATCACAGTGAGTGAGTGAGTTAGATTTGACACCGCTTTGAACAGTATTTCAGTTATACCATTTTTTTCATCTGACTATGGAAAGTCACAAGTTCCAAATATTGAAAACTGTTACCATTTCGGCGCAGCCCAATGGTGCTGACAGACAAATCTATTGATCTGAACCGGATCCTGACACAGCTGAGAAAGGCAACTCGGCATAGCCAACTGCAGCGTCTGAGTGCATTGTCAGAGACAGTTCTAATCCCACGCCGTGGAACATTCCCTACCTATGGTGTGTCTAGTTTAAAAACCAAAGCTAAGCGTGAACACTGTCCCAAAACTCATGGTATCAGGGACAAAGTCTTATAGATCTCATTGTCAGAATAGGAGATTTGCGTCGTTTGCATGTTTTAAGCACATGTGCCAGGTGACAGTCCCATGAACTCGATGACATTTTAAGAAGAGTGAGTGAGTTTGGTTTAGTTTCAGTTATCACGGCGTGTATGCTTGATATGGCGTTTAACACTTTGGTGAAACCAACGAGCACGGCTATGGTGTTTACAAACAGGATCATAATCTGGGGCAGCTAGGATTTAAAGCCACGATCAGGCTGTACACCTACCAGCACACTTGCATGTGTCACACCCGTCGTCGTCCTTCTCAAAGCCATCAGGGCACATCATGAAGCACATTGGTTTCGGGGGGCACGAATCTGGAACAGTGGCACATGCTCTGAATTTGTTACCTTTCGTTTTTTGTTATAAAATACAGATTTGGGGTGCTCCAGATCGCCCTGTAACAGTAGAATCACCGAGCTAAGTTTCATTCAGTGTAATGAATAATAGAGGGTTGTGACTCAATGAAAGCAAAACAAAAACATGCATGGACGTCCCGTGAACTTTTTGCACCCGTGAATATACTCTGCAAAAACAAGAAACGCAAACTGATGCTGACATCCATACAAAATTGATATAAAAAATGAATTGGTCATTTTCTGCATCGATTGGGATTGATTTATTGGGAAAGAATGAGGTTCTGCGGACATTTGGTAAAGAGATGGGACAATCGCAAAAACACCACGTGAGACCCTGGCACCGAAACACACCAACATGACATGCACGTGTAACATCACTTGTTGGGCTGTAGAAGCATTGGGGTTTCATATGCATGCCATTACAATCCTATAGCACGTGGACAGCGAAAAAATGTCACGACTGACGGAAGCCCAACACAACAACGTCATCTGCCTACTGCAAACAGGAGAATCATCTTTGACCTCTCAGGTCATTCCACGTAGCACCAAGCATCAGTACAAGACCGTGGAACCGTTATCAGACACACGGAACAACACGTGACCTCTCCGGATCTGGTCGACCACGTTTCATCACAAGAGCACACGGCAGTATCATACGGCTACGTCACCAACGTGAAAGAACCATGCCTACAGTCCCCGCTACGGCAATACCAGGATTGCGTGGGATATAAGCCCAGACAGTGAGGAACCGTTTAGGCTCTGAAGGTGCTAGACGACCAGTTCGAGGTCGTCTAACGAACGGACCTGCATCGTTGGCTGCGAGGTCAATGGTGTCAAGGTCACAGAGTATGGCCACAACTGCATTTAAGATAAGTTTGGTAAAGTGACGAGTCACGTTTTATAACTCGCCCTGCGGATGGTAAACTTTGTGTTTACAGGCGTCGCGGGAAACGTTATGCACGAAACTGCACACAGGAAGTGGACAGATTTTGTGGTGGTAGTGTGATGATGTGGGCAGCCATCTCCTACAGTGGTAGAACGGACTTGGTGCAAGTTCTGGGGAACAACGGCACAACGTGACGTGGATGAGATCCTTTGTTCACACGTCCTTCCCACTATGCAACAAGCGAACTTCGTTTTCATACAAGACAACGCCCCACCTTACACGGCAAGACTGACAACAGCCTTTTTCCGGAATCATAACATCCAGGTCCTGCCATAGCCCCCCTGGTCTCCAGACTTAAACCCAATCGAACATTCATAGGAAAATCTACTGTTCCATATGTGCCATATCGAACCTGGGTCAATGACAATGATGTGTGCCAATTTTGAACAATCGATTACCAACTGTTATGAAATAGAAATATACACCCAAAATCACTTTTGCATTTCTTTTTTTAGCAGAGTATATGTTCAGGGTTATACCACAACGTCTTTGCGAATTTCGTAACAACTTTTAAGTGTCATTACAGTAAGACATTTTGAAATTCGCATTGGTAAAAATGATTTTAAGATTCCCGTTTGCATATTTATGAGGTAGTGAGTATGGTTTTACGCCGTTTTAAGCAATATCACGGCGGGGTACACCAGAAATGGGCTTCACACATTTTACCCATGTCGGGAATCGAACCCGGGTCTTCGGCGTGACGAACGCTTTAACCACTAGGCTATCCGACCGCCCCGCATATTTGTGGAATAGTTATACAAAGTTTATGGAATAAATATTCTGACCATACGGTTACATTGAAATCTATATTCCAATCCAAAGACACCTGTAAATAAAATGGGACACATACCTGCACAGCTGCAGGTGTCACAACCACTAGCATCCTTCTTGAAACCTTCTGGACAATTCATCATGCACATAGCCTTTGGGGGACACTTGGAGGCTAAACATATAGGTCGAACATGAGAACACATGGCATGTTGTCAAATACACATACTCCTATTTAATTGCCACATTTACAATAAGCATTTCCCGGGACTAGAATATCACGTTACTGACGGATAACATCTAATTGATATATAATTACAAAGAGTGAGTTAGCGTCTTGTGTTTATGTCCCTTTGATTGGTTGGTTGGTTTGTTGTTTAACGCTGCACTCAGCATTATTCAAGCTATATGACGGCGGTCTGTAAATAATCGAGTCTGGACTAGACAATCCAGTGATTGATATCATGAGCATCGACCCACGCACATGCTTCAACCAAGTCAGCGAGCCTGACCACCCGATCCCGTTAGTCGCCTTTTACGACAAGCATAGTCGCCTTTTACGGCAAGCATGGGTTACTGAAGACCTATTCTACACCATCTTCCCGAGTTATAAAAGTCCAGTTTCCACCCTTGCCGAACTAGGCTGGTATTATGGAGTTAGATTTTGGCTGGACTAACGAGTCTATGCATAGTCCAATCAAAATCGCGCAACGAAATCGAAATCCGGTTCGTAATTTAATGAAAGCCCATTTTGATGCAGGTCTTAGACGTTTGCCACTTTGGTGACACCTACGCGCACGGGAATGGTGTTGACAAACCATAGCGTATATAGGATTCGAACCTACGATCACATAATCCTGGCACGCCAAAGGGACGCAAACATGCACAGGCAGCGCCTTACATGACTAGATACAGTGAAACCTTCATTCACTTTTTTAGCTTCAACATGATCCTCGCTATATTTCTAAACTGTAGTCTTGTACTACGGAGATGAGGGTGCCCGTTTGAAGGTCACAAAGTCTCAGACTTCACGTGTTTTCAGTGGATGACATTCATGGAAGCTCACCTGCACACTTGCAGATGTCACATCCTTCCTCGTCCTTCTCGAAGCCATCGGGACAGAACATCATGCACATTGGCTTGTTGAGGCAGTCGGGACTGGCTGTGGATGAATTGTACAAATGTTACAACACTACAGTGGGTGAGCTGGGCTGAACGACGCTTAGAAAGTATATATGTTAGTGGTACCACAACGATTACTACATAAAATAATGAGCAGGGACTTGGAGCTGACAAACAGGGAGCTGACAAACCTAGGATCATAATCAGGGCGAAACTGAGACTCAAACCACGACCACGACCCTTACACGAAGGGCCTTAGAAGGGCCACTCTTTCCGCCAACATGTATAGGGAGCGAATTGGCTTTTGATTGGGAGTGGATCATTGAATGATTATATAAACAATCACAACACTAACTATGCTGTGACCTCACACATACACAAGCGCGCTCCTGCAGACCTAAATGCAGGTCTGTGTTTATTAGGACATAGATCTGCCCCCAAGTTGTGTTACGGAGAGCGGAAAGTCCGGGGTTCGATCCCCGGCCGTGTCGTACCAAAACAGACGCTTAAAGATGGTACTTGTTGTTACCCTGCCTCGAGCTCGGCATAAGGAGCTAAAACACGAACTGGTTGACTCGGAGTCAGAGTACTGTGTCTGTGTGGGATATTCATGTTATACTGCAGCATAGTATCTCAGTTGGCTAGCATGATAAAATCGGCATTAGTGGGGACTAGTACAAGCAGCCACACACGTGCATGCAGGTCGCTATATAATCCATTAATCTTGGACGCGTCGTGAAACCCAATTTCCCCTCACCTCAAGTTCAGTATCATCTTGGAATGAGGACTCTTCCACCGTTTTAAGACTAGATATTGGTAACTTACGTGCACACTTGCAGAAATCACATCCTTCCTCGTCCTTCATGAAGCCGTGAGGGCACTTCATCCTGCAAATTGGCTTCTCGGCACAGGCAGGATTGGCTGCAACATACGCACACAAATATAATCATGTTATCTGTCAAAGTTCCCCTATTTTCATTGCAAGGAAGCAGGGTCTGGAACGTTGTTAAGAATGATAATGATCTGTGGTCGGGATAAGGCTGATGTACAGGGATAACCCGTCAATCTGGATCTTGTTAATCTGGATAACCAATCAATCTGGACCTTGTTAATCTGGATAACCCGTCAATCCGAACCCCTTTCCGGGAGATGATTCCAGGAACAGTAGTACGCATATGCAACGGTAGTGAACCTCAGCTTGCAGTGGAGTAGTGATATTGCATAAGTAAACTGTATTCCTAACGGATCCCTCCACATCATGTTCGTGCAACATAACAGTCGATTCGATTTTAAACAAAGGTCTCTATGAAATTAAAAATAGAAATTAGATAATTATACTATTTGCAATCGAGCATATAAGTCTCAAGACAGTGTTGTGTATGGTGATAGTCATGTGAGCTAGTAAAAGTGGCTGATTTTGTTTCTAATATGGATTCCAAACGGCGCCGAGAGGACCATCTTCCCGGAGCAAGGGAGTTAATTGACTGTCCAGTTTCCACCCTTGCCGAACTACGATGAAAATTCTGGGCTCGATCGTAGCGCCACCAGTGGCTATTACAAGTTATGTCCATTCTATGTCCCTCCTATTGACCAATCAGATTCCACGTCTCATATCATTTGCAATTGCTTCAAACAAAATGGCGGCGCTCAGTCAAGACGATCTGATCGATAATCCAGATCTATTTTGTAATATAAAGGGTCTTCATTAGCGAAGTGCATCCAGTCATGTGAGCACCTTGATTGAAAACATGAAAAGATTAGGACGCCAAGTTGGCAGTACACCTGCTTTGCAAATCATGTAATCGACCGAAAGCTGCACGGCAGTTTAGACGGATGTCGATTTCAATACGCGATTTTAATTGGACTATGCATTGACTCGTTAGTCCAGCCAACATAACTCCATAATTCCAGCCTAGTTCGGCAAGGGTGGAAACTTGTCTTTATAGTCAGTTAACTCCCTTGCCTCGGGTAGATGCGAGGTGATCATTCGGGTCAAGTCGGCTTATTCCGCTAGCTACATAATACTGTACAGAGACGTGCCGAGTGCTGTGAGTTACATACCTGCGCATTTACAGACATCGCATCCCTCCTGGTCTCTCTCAAAGCCAAACTCACACCTCATCCTGCAGGTAGGTTTCTCGGCACAGGCAGGGTTCTCTGGAGACAGACGATATTCAGCTTAATATTATTACAGGTTATATTTTCAGTTATGAATGACATGATATGATAAAGAGATTATTACCCTCGCGAGGTTCCGTAAGGTAAATATGATATACTAGGAACCAAACATAAGTAATATACTCGCCAAAGATGTGCTATTTACGTTACGAAAGCACAGGGGGCTAATAAGCAATGTATGACTCAATCAGAGTATATTCCACGATATGTAATTGTGACGTATTTCTGTATATTTACCTGCACATCGGCAGACGTCGCAACCGTCTTCGTCCTTTTCAAAACCAAAAGGACAGGACATCTTACAGATTGGCCTTTGGGAGCACACTGGTTTAGCTGGTGAACAGAATATTTAAAAGAATAACAGTCCAATAAAGGCACCAGATTGCCTATCGCATCAGTTCATTCCACCATGTCCAGGGAATGTGTACGCAAACACTGACTGCAGACGTATTTATGATAAATAATGTTTCACGCAAACGTGTGAACAGAATATACACTTTAGGGCCATGTGCCTTCCTTGTATAACCCCTTTAACCTGCCAGGATCCGCTGATTGTGCTCTGATCATAATCCTTGAGAGCATCAAATATGAGCAAAATATTGCAAAAGTGTCGTAAAACCACTCACTCACTCACAAACAATCAGGATCACCACGATGGGTATTTGTATTATGCTTTGAGTGAGTGAGTGAGTTTGACGTCGCTTTTAGAAATGTTTCAGCCCTATCTCGGCGGGACACACCAGAAGTTGGTTTGACACATTGTACCCAGGTGGGAAATCGAACCCGGTCCGCGACGTGACGAGCTAACGCCTTAACCACTAGGCTACCCCACCATCCCCGACTGAATTGGATAGTTGATCAGGCACTCTTAGTTCAATGCATATCAGCTTACCCTGGCGTGGGAATCTGCTCATTATATCAACCACTGGTATGTCTGACCGAATATTGACAGGCTGCCCTCACATAGCTGGAATATTGCTGGCTTCGGCGTTGAACAACATTATCCCACCCATAACACAATGAAACTATTAGAATAACACACCGAAGAAACATAAAAGCAAAGAAAGGAGACGAGTTGATGTCAATCATTTCAACCATTCCAACCCTAATTAAGTATGAGACGTCATGGACAGAGAACAGCCAGTCACGTTCACCCGCGGAAGGAGATTCCTGTGGGCAAAATGGCGACGAGAGAGTGCAACCACCACATGATCCGCCGAAACAGATTAAAGATTTGCGTCAGCGGCAAAATTGCTGTGAAAATGTTACGAATGGATCACTGAAAATCAGTCACGACACCAGGGTGCCGTTGTACAAAACAACCTTAGCGCTACGACTGTCGTAAGTCTATGTTAAGGTATGGCAGTTACGATCACCTTAGCGCTAAGATCGCTTTGTACAACGGCACCCAGGTGTTTTCGATAAGGGTAAATTCGCATTCTTGCCTGACGCCCCACAGCAGTACTATTGCCATGCGACGACGGCCTGTGAACAAACTAGACAATCATGAGAACGACGGACCAGAAAATCCAGTGACACGATAGCGCATTTACTGAATCTGTAGAAGTTAAGAACGATAACTTAACGATGTAGAAAAAACATACTGGATTATCTTCCAATGGTACCCATACCTGTTCTGATCAGCCATGTGACGCCATGTAGCAGGCCGTTGTAAAGAAGTAGAAGCAACAAAACACTGGCCGTCATTTTCAGAAATTATTAAATAAAATCCCCCTTGAAAACAAAACACATTTTATCAGTCGACACAACAACCTACCGGCGCACTTGCACTTTTCACAGCCATTCTCATCACGTTGGAAGCCATGTGGGCAATTCATCATACACTTTACATCCGGGCACTTAGTACCTGCAATAAATAGTAGCATTTCGTACCATTGTGATACATGATAGATTATAGTAATCCTGACACAAACAGCGACATTGTCGTGTAACGGCCATATCAGAATGTTAATGAGATAGATTGGTTGCTTTCTGTCGAAAGCGACCACATGATGCTGCAGACACGGGTTTGATTCATCAGTGGAGAAAATGTGTTGCATGTTGAACTGTACGCAGTGACATTGTTGCAATATTGCTTGAAGCGTCGTAAAGACTTTTCACTCACTCACTCACAATCTGGTTGATCACTGGTTTCAGCGACCAATGGTGTCATTCGGCTCGCCTCGCACCCATATTGTGAGTGTGTGAGAGAGAGTTCACAGTAGCGAGACTTGTGGGAGTCTTGTACTCAGTTATAATGAGTATGTTTTACTGCAACCCCACAAAAGATCCTCCAGATTTATGATGAATATGAAGAATGTTTTTTCAAGTTTTAAGATCTACACGTACGTTTTTAACATTTATACTTTGTTCGTAACCAGTGAGTTGGGGTTAACATTTTGACGCCGCTTAGCTTTAGGGGATATTCTAGAGCGAGTGAGTTTAATTTTACGTCGTTTGGTGAACCCACGAGCGGAGGGATGGCGTTAATAAAATTCGAAACAAAACCATTGCGAACACCCCACCCATTTTCTATTAATCTCGGATTATTTAAAAAAAATATTATTTTTTAAATTTTGAGTTACATTTAATAAATGACATAACGGATGCCTTGTAATAAGGTTGTTGTTAAAGTAATCTAAAATTGTTCGACTTCTCGTTCCAGAGAAAAAAGTTATATGTCTTTACGAAATGAAGTGAATATTTTCTCTTACAAAAACTCCAAGGCCCGGCACAATCCCAGGCTACAGTCATCCAAGTGCATTAAAGTGTTGAATGAAAACTTTGGATGGGACCCGTGAAGATCCGGGGTAGAATAGGTCTTCAGCAACCCATGCTTGCCGTAAAAGGCGACTATGCTTGTCGTAAGAGGCGACTAACGGGATCGGATGGTCAGGCTCGCTGACTTGGTTGATGTATGCCATCGATTCCAATTGTGTGGATCGATGCTCTCGATATTAATCACTGGATTGTCTGGTCCAGGCTCGATTATTTACAGACCGCCGTCATATAGCTAGAATATTGCTGAGTGCGGCGTTAAACAACCAACCAACCCAAACCAACCATGGCTGGGTGAGAGAATGTTACCTTTACACTTGCACACGTCACAACCGTTGTCATCTGTGGCGAATCCATTGGCGCAGTTCATCATACACATGGCCTTGGGTGGGCATTCGCCCTGTCCTGAAAGTACACCCGTCAGTTGTGTAGATACAAGAGTTAAAACGTAGAAGGATGTGGCAGGACCTCAAGAGGTTCAATGCTTGGTTGGAGTTAAATGCAAATGAAGGTTTCAAACAAGTAAGGACTACAGCATGATAGCGTTAGGCATTTTTGTTTTATTACAGTTTTATGGGGCCCTGAGAGACACTCGTGACCTAAAAACGTCTCTGGGAATGAGTGAGTATGATTTTACGCCGCTTTTAGCAATACTGCAGCAATATCACGGCGGGGACACCAGGAATGTTGCTGGGAATAAACAAATGGTAGTTGACTGAAACTTTGGAAGATATAATGGTACCCGTGAAGATCCGGGTTAGGATAGGTCTTCAGCAACCCATATTTGCCGTAAAAGGTGACTATGCGTGTCGTAAAAGACGACTGACGGGATCAGGTGGTGACTTGTTTGACTACCAACACGATTACTCTACTGTCTATGCTGGGGGTGATGTTGCTTGGATTTTAACGTCACTTGAAGGGTACCTTAGATACATGACGTTATATACGTTTTATGTGACGCCGGCCATTGACGTTGAGTACTTTGGTGTTGACAAACCAAGGATTATAATCGAGGTGAATATGGGATTCGAACTCCAACCACTGGATCGTGGACAGGCTAAATGCAGCATAGCGAACTGCCTCACACTACTGAGCCACCAGTACCACTTTCGAGTTATCTGGAAGTTCGGATCAACCGAGCCTATACAAGAGTCTACAGTGGGAGGTTATTAACGTGGTTATGTAAGAAACATGTTCTTTGGAGATCGTGATTTGCGATGACGTTCATTTCTAGTCTGTCCTCGACAAAACGGAGGTATTTGTTATCATAATGTTTAAAAGGGTGGAGTCTAAACCCAAATCCTCTCCTGTATCCGCCGATGCCATACAATATGAGCGGGCCGCTAAACAAAACGTCGAAGACTTGATAGGATGGCCAATAGACCCAAGCCTATATATAGATCACTGATGTTTCAAGTCCTAACAATACATCATTAAATCATCTATATGAGGCTGATATCGAACCCATCACTACGTCATGTATAACCTTTCAAACCTTGCGTATGCTATCTGAACAGAGTGGGTTCCGTATATACTTACTGCGAGGACGTCTCTTTGGCTGAATAGGCTGCGCACATTTACAAAGTTTACATCCCTTGTTGTCTTTTTCGAACCCAAAGGGGCACGCCATCCTACAATTAGGCTTAGTTGGACAGCGTCCACTCACTAAGGCTGAAAGTAAACAAGAAAGTAAATAAATATTGCGAAATGGAGTTGATATTTAAACCGATCGGCTTGGTAAGAGTGTAGAAATTTTCACAGAAACGACACTGACAAGAAACAGATGCAGTTTATCTATCCGAACTCTAATATGTAACAAAACAGGCGAAGTTTTGAACTGATCTCTACCCACTATTAAGTTCTATGACAAGGTGATGAAAGTATGGATGTTAGATCACCTAAATAAACATTTATTACTTTACGAGTGTTGTGCGCCGTAGTCAGCAAATAACATGTTTCAGCTAAATCACGACAGCCTGCTATTATCGGGTCAGGCAAACCAGTGGTTGACTGTATGCGTGAGTGAATGAGTTTGGTTTTACGCCGCTTTTAGCAATATTCCAGCGGGGGACAGTAGAAAATGGGCTTCACACATTGTACCCATGTCGGGAATTGAACCCGGGTCTTCGGCGTGACGAGCGAACGCTTTAACCACTAGGCTACCCGACCGCACTGGTTGATAGTATGACCAGTGATTTAGTCCGTCGACACGATTATGCAGAATCAGCGATCATCATCGATCCTCAATAGTAGGCTTGACGATAAACTTGTGCTTGGAACGTCCTCTACCCCTGAATCCCAACGGGGGGTAACCGTATTAGAATCAAAGCGAAATATCAGTCACATAAAACACAAAATGCGTCAAATTCTAAATATAATTACAACATTATGATGGTTTTAACATTGGAGAATACTAACAGCGAAACCCCGTTAATCCGGACAGTAGCGTTCCCACTAAAGTGAGTGAGTGAGTGAGCGAGTGAGTTACAATTTAACGTCACTTGAAGGGTACCTTAGATACATGACATTATATAGGTTTTATGTGACGCCGGCCATTGACGTTGAGCACTTTGGTGTTGACAAACCAAGGATCATAATCGAGGTGAATATGGGATTCGAACTCCAACAACTGGATCGTGGACAGGGTAAATGCAGCATAGCGAACTGCCTCACACTACTGAGCCACCAGTACCACTTTCGAGTTGTCTGGAAGTTCGGATCAACCGAGCCTATACAAGAGTCTACAGTGGGAGGTTATTAACGTGGTTATGTAAGAAACATGTTCTTTGGAGATCGTGATTTGCGATGACGTTCATTTCTAGTCTGTCCTCGACAAAATGGAGGTATTTGTTATCATAATGTTTAAAAGGGTAGAGTCTAAACCCAAATCCTCTCCTGTATCCGCCGATGTCATACAATATGAGCGGGCCGCTAAACAAAACGTCGAAGACTTGATAGGATGGCCAATAGACCCAAGCTTATATATAGATCACTGATGTTTCAAGTCCTAACAATACATCATTAAATCATCTATATGAGGCTGATATCGAACCCATCACTACGTCCTGTATAACCTTTCAAACCTTGCGTATGCTATCTGAACAGAGTGGGTTCCGTATATACTAACCGCGAGGACGTCTCTTTGGCTGAGTGGGCTGCGCACATTTACAAAGTTTACATCCCTTGTTGTCTTTTTCGAACCCGAAGGGGCACGCCATCCTACAATTAGGCCTAGTTGGACAGCGTCCACTCACTAAGGCTGAAAGTAAACAAGAAAGTAAATAAATATTGCGAAATGGAGTTGATATTTAAACCGATCGGCTTGGTAAGAGTGTAGAAATTTTCACAGAAACGACACTGACAAGAAACAGATGCAGTTTATCTATCCGAACTCTAATATGTAACAAAACAGGCGAAGTTTTGAACTGACCTCTACCCACTATTAAGTTCTATGACAAGGTGATGAAAGTATGGATGTTAGATCACCTAAATAAACATTTATTACTTTACGAGTGTTGTGCGCCGTAGTCAGCAAATAACATGTTTCAGCTAAATCACGACAGCCTGCTATTATCGGGTCAGGCAAACCAGTGGTTGACTGTATGCGTGAGTGAATGATTTTCGTTTTACGCCGCTTTTAGCAATATTCCAGCGAGGGACACTAGAAAATGGGCTTCACACATTGTACCCATGTCGGGAATTGAACCCGGGTCTTCGGCGTGACGAGCGAACGCTTTAACCACTAGGCTACCCGACCGCACTGGTTGATAGTATGACCAGTGATTTAGTCCGTCGACACGATTATGCAGAATCAGCGATCATCATCGATCCTCAATAGTAGGCTTGACGATAAACTTGTGCTTGGAACGTCCTCTACCCCTGAATCCCAACGGGGGGTAACCGTATTAGAATCAAAGCGAAATATCAGTCACATAAAACACAAAATGCGTCAAATTCTAAATATAATTACAACATTATGATGGTTTTAACATTGGAGAATACTAACAGCGAAACCCCGTTAATCCGGACAGTAGCGTTCCCACTAAAGTGAGTGAGTGTGTGAGTGAGTTACAATTTAACGTCACTTGAAGGGTACCTTAGATACATGACATTATATAGGTTTTATGTGAGGACGGCCATTGACGTTGAACACTTTGGTGTTGACAAACCAAGGATCATAATCGAGGTTAATATTGGATTCGAACTCCAACAACTGGATCGTGGACAGGCTAAATGCAGCATAGCGAACTGCCTGACACTACTGACCCACCAGTACCACTTTCGAGTTATCTGGAAGTTCGGATCAACCGAACCTATACTAAAGTCTACAGTGGGAGGTTATAAACGTGGTTATGTAAGAAACATGTTCTTTGGAGATCGTGATTTGCGATGACGTTCATTTCTAGTCTGTCCTCGACAAAATGGAGGTATTTGTTATCATACTGTTTAAAAGGGTTGGAGTCTAAACCCAAATCCTCTCCTGTATCCGCCGATGTCATACAATATGAGCGGGCCGCTAAACAAAACGTCGAAGACTTGATAGGATGGCCAATAGACCCAAGCTTATATATAGATCACTGATGTTTCAAGTCCTAACAATACATCATTAAATCATCTATATGAGGCTGATATCGAACCCATCACTACGTCATGTATAACCTTTCAAACCTTGCGTATGCTATCTGAACAGAGTGGGTTCCGTATATACTAACCGCGAGGACGTCTCTTTGGCTGAATGGGCTGCGCACATTTACAAAGTTTACATCCCTTGTTGTCTTTTTCGAACCCAAAGGGGCACGCCATCCTACAATTAGGCCTAGTTGCACAGCGTCCACTCACTAAGGCTGAAAGTAAACAAGAAAGTAAATAAATATTGCGAAATGGAGTTGATATTTAAACCGATCGGCTTGGTAAGAGTGTAGAAATTTTCACAGAAACGACACTGACAAGAAACAGATGCAGTTTATCTATCCGAACTCTAATATGTAACAAAACAGGCGAAGTTTTGAACTGACCTCTACCCACTATTAAGTTCTATGACAAGGTGATGAAAGTATGGATGTTAGATCACCTAAATAAACATTTATTACTTTACGAGTGTTGTGCGCCGTAGTCAGCAAATAACATGTTTCAGCTAAATCACGACAGCCTGCTATTATCGGGTCAGGCAAACCAGTGGTTGACTGTATGCGTGAGTGAATGATTTTCGTTTTACGCCGCTTTTAGCAATATTCCAGCGGGGGACACTAGAAAATGGGCTTCACACATTGTACCCATGTCGGGAATTGAACCCGGGTCTTCGGCGTGACGAACGAACGCTTTAACCACTAGGCTACCCGACCGCACTGGTTGATAGTATGACCAGTGATTTAGTCCGTCGACACGATTATGCAGAATCAGCGATCATCATCGATCCTCAATAGTAGGCTTGACGATAAACTTGTGCTTGGAACGTCCTCTACCCCTGAATCCCAACGGGGGGTAACCGTATTAGAATCAAAGCGAAATATCAGTCACATAAAACACAAAATGCGTCAAATTCTAAATATAATTACAACATTATGATGGTTTTAACATTGGAGAATACTAACAGCGAAACCCCGTTAATCCGGACAGTAGCGTTCCCACTAAAGTGAGTGAGTGTGTGAGTGAGTTACAATTTAACGTCACTTGAAGGGTACCTTAGATACATGACATTATATAGGTTTTATGTGAGGACGGCCATTGACGTTGAACACTTTGGTGTTGACAAACCAAGGATCATAATCGAGGTTAATATGGGATTCGAACTCCAACAACTGGATCGTGGACAGGCTAAATGCAGCATAGCGAACTGCCTGACACTACTGACCCACCAGTACCACTTTCGAGTTATCTGGAAGTTCGGATCAACCGAACCTATACTAAAGTCTACAGTGGGAGGTTATAAACGTGGTTATGTAAGAAACATGTTCTTGGGAGATCGTGATTTGCGATGACGTTCATTTCTAGTCTGTCCTCGACAAAATGGAGGTATTTGTTATCATACTGTTTAAAAGGGTTGGAGTCTAAACCCAAATCCTCTCCTGTATCCGCCGATGTCATACAATATGAGCGGGCCGCTAAACAAAACGTCGAAGACTTGATAGGATGGCCAATAGACCCAAGCTTATATATAGATCACTGATGTTTCAAGTCCTAACAATACATCATTAAATCATCTATATGAGGCTGATATCGAACCCATCACTACGTCATGTATAACCTTTCAAACCTTGCGTATGCTATCTGAACAGAGTGGGTTCCGTATATACTAACCGCGAGGACGTCTCTTTGGCTGAATGGGCTGCGCACATTTACAAAGTTTACATCCCTTGTTGTCTTTTTCGAACCCAAAGGGGCACGCCATCCTACAATTAGGCTTAGTTGCACAGCGTCCACTCACTAAGGCTGAAAGTAAACAAGAAAGTAAATAAATATTGCGAAATGGAGTTGATATTTAAACCGATCGGCTTGGTAAGAGTGTAGAAATTTTCACAGAAACGACACTGACAAGAAACAGATGCAGTTTATCTATCCGAACTCTAATATGTAACAAAACAGGCGAAGTTTTGAACTGACCTCTACCCACTATTAAGTTCTATGACAAGGTGATGAAAGTATGGATGTTAGATCACCTAAATAAACATTTATTACTTTACGAGTGTTGTGCGCCGTAGTCAGCAAATAACATGTTTCAGCTAAATCACGACAGCCTGCTATTATCGGGTCAGGCAAACCAGTGGTTGACTGTATGCGTGAGTGAATGATTTTCGTTTTACGCCGCTTTTAGCAATATTCCAGCGGGGGACACTAGAAAATGGGCTTCACACATTGTACCCATGTCGGGAATTGAACCCGGGTCTTCGGCGTGACGAGCGAACGCTTTAACCACTAGGCTACCCGACCGCACTGGTTGATAGTATGACCAGTGATTTAGTCCGTCGACACGATTATGCAGAATCAGCGATCATCATCGATCCTCAATAGTAGGCTTGACGATAAACGTGTGCTTGGAACGTCCTCTACCCCTGAATCCCAACGGGGGGTAACCGTATTAGAATCAAAGCGAAATATCAGTCACATAAAACACAAAATGCGTCAAATTCTAAATATAATTACAACATTATGATGGTTTTAACATTGGAGAATACTAACAGCGAAACCCCGTTAATCCGGACAGTAGCGTTCCCACTAAAGTGAGTGAGTGAGTGAGTGAGTGAGTGAGTGAGTGAGTTACAATTTAACGTCACTTGAAGGGTACCTTAGATACATGACATTATATAGGTTTTATGTGACGCCGGCCATTGACGTTGAGCACTTTGGTGTTGACAAACCAAGGATCATAATCGAGGTGAATATGGGATTCGAACTCCAACAACTGGATCGTGGACAGGCTAAATGCAGCATAGCGAACTGCCTCACACTACTGAGCCACCAGTACCACTTTCGAGTTATCTGGAAGTTCGGATCAACCGAACCTATACTAAAGTCTACAGTGGGAGGTTATTAACGTGGTTATGTAAGAAACATGTTCTTGGGAGATCGTGATTTGCGATGACGTTCATTTCTAGTCTGTCCTCGACAAAATGGAGGTATTTGTTATCATAATGTTTAAAAGGGTTGGAGTCTAAACCCAAATCCTCTCCTGTATCCGCCGATGTCATACAATATGAGCGGGCCGCTAAACAAAACGTCGAAGACTTGATAGGATGGCCAATAGACCCAAGCTTATATATAGATCACTGATGTTTCAAGTCCTAACAATACATCATTAAATCATCTATATGAGGCTGATATCGAACCCATCACTACGTCATGTATAACCTTTTAAACCTTGCGTATGCTATCTGAACAAAGTGGGTTCCGTATATACTAACCGCGAGGACGTCTCTTTGGCTGAATGGGCTGCACACATTTACAAAGTTTACATCCCTTGTTGTCTTTTTCGAACCCGAAGGGGCACGCCATCCTACAATTAGGCTTAGTTGCACAGCGTCCACTCACTAAGGCTGAAAGTAAACAAGAAAGTAAATAAATATTGCGAAATGGAGTTGATATTTAAACCGATCGGCTTGGTAAGAGTGTAGAAATTTTCACAGAAACGACACTGACAAGAAACAGATGCAGTTTATCTATCCGAACTCTAATATGTAACAAAACAGGCGAAGTTTTGAACTGACCTCTACCCACTATTAAGTTCTATGACAAGGTGATGAAAGTATGGATGTTAGATCACCTAAATAAACATTTATTACTTTACGAGTGTTGTGCGCCGTAGTCAGCAAATAACATGTTTCAGCTAAATCACGACAGCCTGCTATTATCGGGTCAGGCAAACCAGTGGTTGACTGTATGCGTGAGTGAATGATTTTCGTTTTACGCCGCTTTTAGCAATATTCCAGCGGGGGACACTAGAAAATGGGCTTCACACATTGTACCCATGTCGGGAATTGAACCCGGGTCTTCGGCGTGACGAGCGAACGCTTTAACCACTAGGCTACCCGACCGCACTGGTTGATAGTATGACCAGTGATTTAGTCCGTCGACACGATTATGCAGAATCAGCGATCATCATCGATCCTCAATAGTAGGCTTGACGATAAACGTGTGCTTGGAACGTCCTCTACCCCTGAATCCCAACGGGGGGTAACCGTATTAGAATCAAAGCGAAATATCAGTCACATAAAACACAAAATGCGTCAAATTCTAAATATAATTACAACATTATGATGGTTTTAACATTGGAGAATACTAACAGCGAAACCCCGTTAATCCGGACAGTAGCGTTCCCACTAAAGTGAGTGAGTGAGTGAGTGAGTTACAATTTAACGTCACTTGAAGGGTACCTTAGATACATGACATTATATAGGTTTTATGTGACGCCGGCCATTGACGTTGAGCACTTTGGTGTTGACAAACCAAGGATCATAATCGAGGTGAATATGGGATTCGAACTCCAACAACTGGATCGTGGACAGGCTAAATGAAGCATAGCGAACTGCCTCACACTACTGACCCACCAGTACCACTTTCGAGTTATCTGGAAGTTCGGATCAACCGAACCTATACAAGAGTCTACAGTGGGAGGTTATTAACGTGGTTATGTAAGAAACATGTTCTTGGGAGATCGTGATTTGCGATGACGTTCATTTCTAGTCTGTCCTCGACAAAATGGAGGTATTTGTTATCATAATGTTTAAAAGGGTTGGAGTCTAAACCCAAATCCTCTCCTGTATCCGCCGATGTCATACAATATGAGCGGGTCGCTAAACAAAACGTCGAAGACTTGATAGGATGGCCAATAGACCCAAGCTTATAAATAGATCACTGATGTTTCAAGTCCTAACAATACATCATTAAATCATCTATATGAGGCTGATATCGAACCCATCACTACGTCATGTATAACCTTTCAAACTTTGCGTATGCTATCTGAACAAAGTGGGTTCCGTATATACTAACCGCGAGGACGTCTCTTTGGCTGAATGGGCTGCACACATTTACAAAGTTTACATCCCTTGTTGTCTTTTTCGAACCCAAAGGGGCACGCCATCCTACAATTAGGCTTAGTTGCACAGCGTCCACTCACTAAGGCTGAAAGTAAACAAGAAAGTAAATAAATATTGCGAAATGGAGTTGATATTTAAACCGATCGGCTTGGTAAGAGTGTAGAAATTTTCACAGAAACGACACTGACAAGAAACAGATGCAGTTTATCTATCCGAACTCTAATATGTAACAAAACAGGCGAAGTTTTGAACTGATCTCTACCCACTATTAAGTTCTATGACAAGGTGATGAAAGTATGGATGTTAGATCACCTAAATAAACATTTATTACTTTACGAGTGTTGTGCGCCGTAGTCAGCAAATAACATGTTTCAGCTAAATCACGACAGCCTGCTATTATCGGGTCAGGCAAACCAGTGGTTGACTGTATGCGTGAGTGAATGATTTTCGTTTTACGCCGCTTTTAGCAATATTCCAGCGGGGGACACTAGAAAATGGGCTTCACACATTGTACCCATGTCGGGAATTGAACCCGGGTCTTCGGCGTGACGAGCGAACGCTTTAACCACTAGGCTACCCGACCGCACTGGTTGATAGTATGACCAGTGATTTAGTCCGTCGACACGATTATGCAGAATCAGCGATTATCATCGATCCTCAATAGTAGGCTTGACGATAAACTTGTGCTTGGAACGTCCTCTACCCCTGAATCCCAACGGGGGGTAACCGTATTAGAATCGAAGTGAAATATCAGTCACATTAAACACAAAATGCGTCAAATTCTAAATATAATTACAACATTATGATTGTTTTAACATTGGGGAATACTAACAGCGAAACCCCGTTAATCCGGACAGTAGCTTTCCCACTAAAGTGAGTGAGTGAGTGAGTTACAATTTAACGTCACTTGAAGGGTACCTTAGATACATGACATTATATAGGTTTTATGTGACGCCGGCCATTGACGTTGAGCACTTTGGTGTTGACAAACCAAGGATCATAATCGAGGTGAATATGGGATTCGAACTCCAACAACTAGCTCGTGGACAGGCTAAATGCAGCATAGCGAACTGCCTCACACTACTGACCCACCAGTACCACTTTCGAGTTATCTCGAAGTTCGGATCAACCGAACCTATACAAGAGTCTACAGTGGGAGGTTATTAACGTGGTTATGTAAGAAACATGTTCTTTGGAGATCGTGATTTGCGATGACGTTCATTTCTAGTCTGTCCTCGACAAAACGGAGGTATTTGTTATCATAATGTTTAAAAGGGTAGAGTCTAAACCCAAATCCTCTCCTGTATCCGCCGATGTCATACAATATGAGCGGGCCGCTAAACAAAACGTCGAAGACTTGATAGGATGGCCAATAGACCCAAGCTTATATATAGATCACTGATGTTTCAAGTCCTAACAATACATCATTAAATCATCTATATGAGGCTGATATCGAACCTATCACTACGTCCTGTATAACCTTTCAAACCTTGCGTATGCTATCTGAACAGAGTGGGTTCCGTATATACTAAAAGCGAGGACGTCTCTTTGGCTGAATGGACTGCACACATTTACAAAGTTTACATCCCTTGACATTCAAAACAACACATTTTCTACGATTAAAAACGTGGCAGAAATAGTGAGCATCCATACCCCCTCTGGGATACAATAATTGTACGCAACAGGCACTAACAATCTCAGTTATCAAATCAAAAAAGGTTGTTTTTGGGTTTTTTTATACAAAAGATATCAATCAAAATGTATGAAATAACTCCGTTCCCACTAAAACCGCCTGGATTAACGAATCGTGGATGCAAGTAACGTCACTTTGCATACATGCAAGTGTTCCGGCAGCAAGAGCCCAAGGTCTCCGAGGCAATATTTATTATTTCAAATCATAATTGCTATATTACATAAATAATAAAAACAAGATGTCCCTGTAATCCCCTGTAATGTCCCTGACGTCCTTAATTGTCTAGACTTGCAGTCTATTTTACTTACCCTATGTTATAAGGGTAGAATTACTGGCATACATCGACTTGGAGCAAGGCTACAAGCGCTCAGAAAGCTAGCGTTCCCGGTTATAGGGTTGCGTACTAACGACGTTTCGCAATGTCATAAACAACTTACCAATTCCAAAGACCAAAACGCCGAGAAATATCAGCGACTTCATTTTGGCAGCTTGTACAGAGCTCTGTAACACTGCTGGGTAGAACACTGTGACCCTCTTGCCAAGATCACGGCATTTATACTTTGGCTTCACGCCTACTCAAACGGTCGTAAATCAGAGAACATTGTAAAATCAGAAATTGGTAACACAAGAGATAAATAGCCATTGTTCAGTCAGCCAATCAAAATCCATCGAATGTTTGTAGCGGTGTCATGAACGTTTTTCCTGTAGTATATACACTTGACCTTCACCTTGGTGGTAATGAACGTGCTCAATGACTCGAGAATCCGCCCAGAAACACGATATTCAACTCTATAACCTGTCACTCTACTGTTCCGGTGATGTCATATTTTGTCCGGTTATCAGGTCCGTGCCTGGTCGTAAATCTCCGGTCATTTCCGATATTAAGTGGCGCTGTCGCCGAATGAAAGTTGAACGTATCAGTGATGCATTGTGGGGGGATATGTAAACAAATACATAACTATGCAATCAGTGACAGGAGTGGGTAATGATGCACCCTCACATACTGCATACTGCATGAACATATAACACAAAGTATAGATAGTTCCTGTCATTAAATAGGATTGCCATATCCATCTAAAAGAGGAGGAGGAGGTAGGACCTCTTGACATACTCAAATGACAAATTTTAAATAACAACGACAAAATCATTTCCATAATCATAAGAAATGCTAAACACTGAATCCACTGGACGGTTCCGACTAGCATAAGTGTGTGTTTATAAAACACTATCAAATAGTGATGACACCAGGTGTTTATAAAACACTATCAAATAGTGATGACACCAGGTGTTTATAAAACACTATCAAATAGTGATGACACCAGGTGTTTATAAAACACTATCAAATAGTGATGACATCAGGTGTTTATAAAACACTATCAAATAGTGATGACACCAGGTGTTTATAAAACACTATCAAATAGTGATGACATCAGGTGTTTATAAAACACTATCAAACAGTGATGACACCAGGTGTTTATAAAACACTATCAAATAGTGATGACACCAGGTGTTTATAAAACACTATCAAATAGTGATGACACCAGGTGTTTATAAAACACTATCAAATAGTGATGACATCAGGTGTTTATAAAACACTATCAAATAGTGATGACACCAGGTGTTTATAAAACACTATCAAATAGTGATGACATCAGGTGTTTATAAAACACTATCAAATAGTGATGACATCAGGTGTTTATAAAACACTATCAAATAGTGATGACACCAGGTGTTTATGAAACACTATCAAACAGTGATGACACCAGGTGTTTATAAAACACTATCAAACAGTGATGACACCAGGTGTTTATAAAACACTATCAAATAGTGATGACACCAGGTGTTTATAAAACACTATCAAACAGTGATGACACCAGGTGTTTATAAAACACTATCAAATAGTGATGACACCAGGTGTTTATAAAACACTATCAAACAGTGATGACATCAGGTGTTTATTAAACACTATCAAACAGTGATGACACCAGGTGTTTATAAAACACTATCAAACAGTGATGACACCAGGTGTTTATAAAACACTATCAAATAGTGATGACACCAGGTGTTTATAAAACACTATCAAACAGTGATGACACCAGGTGTTTATAAATCACTATCAAATAGTGATGACACCAGGTGTTTATAAAACACTATGAAACAGTGATGACACCAGGTGTTTATAAAACACTATCAAATAGTGATGACACCAGGTGTTTATAAAACACTATCAAATAGTGATGACACCAGGTGTTTATAAAACACTATCAAACAGTGATGACATCAGGTGTTTATAAAACACTATCAAACAGTGATGACATCAGGTGTTTATAAAACACTATCAAACAGTGATGACATCAGGTGTTTATAAAACACTATCAAACAGTGATGACACCAGGTGTTTATAAACACTATCAAATAGTGATGACACCAGGTGTTTATGAAACACTATCAAATAGTGATGACATCAGGTGTTTATAAAACACTATCAAACAGTGATGACACCAGGTGTTTATAAACACTATCAAATAGTGATGACACCAGGTGTTTATAAAACACTATCAAATAGTGATGACACCAGATGTTTATAAAACACTATCAAATAGTGATGACACCAGGTGTTTATAAACACTATCAAATAGTGATGACATCAGGTGTTTATAAAACACTATCAAACAGTGATGACACCAGGTGTTTATAAATCACTATCAAATAGTGATGACATCAGGTGTTTATAAAACACTATCAAACAGTGATGACACCAGGTGTTTATAAAACACTATCAAATAGTGATGACACCAGGTGTTTATAAACACTATCAAATAGTGATGACACCAGGTGTTTATAAAACACTATCAAACAGTGATGACACCAGGTGTTTATAAATCACTATCAAATAGTGATGACACCAGGTGTTTATAAAACACTATCAAACAGTGATGACACCAGGTGTTTATAAACACTATCAAATAGTGACGACACCAGGTGTTTATAAAACACTATCAAACAGTGATGACACCAGGTGTTTATAAAACACTATCAAATAGTGATGACACCAGGTGTTTATAAAACACTATCAAACAGTGATGGCACCAGGTGTTTATAAAACACTATCAAACAGTGATGACACCGGGTGTTCGTGAAAAGGTGAGCGTATCCTGTCCCACCGGTGGCAACCGTCACAAACACATGCAAAGACAAGTCAGTTGTTCACCTGAACAAACACGTGAACCTATGGTACAAGTCAATAGGGGAAATGCAACGGACACAAGTGTGGCCACTGATGCGTCAAATTTACAAATGCCTTTTTTACTGTTCTACCATAAAACCTTTTGAAAGATTTACAAAGGCCTTGAATGTTGTAACCCTGATCAAAGTTACGTGTAAATGAAAATTATCAGACATGTTTAAATGGCGGACAACTAGGCTAGCGTCTGTCTTGCAAGATGTGGATCGTTCATATGATCAAACAGATAGGTATGGCTAATATGATTAAAAAGGGTGATTTTTGAACTTCAAGGGAAAATCTACATACGAGCAAGTCTGTGGTCCAAGATGAATTGTTTTCCATACTTATTTAATCTCCTTAGAAAATCCAATATTAGAATAAACATGTCCCGATAACATCTAAAACATTTTGACACAGTGTACTGAGTGTAGCCTTATATATTCGTTTAGTGTTGTTATAAGTGTCGAACATGCACATGTTGAAGTGAATGAGTGAGTGAGTGAGAATGGGTTTACGCCGCTTTTAGCAACATTTCTATGGTGGCCGAGAGGGGACATCGCTTTCTCGCTCTATCGCTTTCTCGCTTTCTCGCTCTATCGCTTTCTCGCGGTGTAGCAATGTTTCCTCTTGGCCACTATATGGGTCACATGTGTTATGTGTTTCTTTACGATAAAAAGTATATACGTAAAACAACATTAATGAATTGTTAAACCTGACCTCAGTGGGCGGAGGCTGATGTGTGTTTTAATCATAACAGAGAGCTGAGATTTTTCCAGTCACATTTCAAATTATACATATGGACGGAATGTTGAGATTTACCCACAATCTACTTAAACATAATTTAACAGTACAGACATGGGTGCTTTTATAACTATCCACGTATTTCTGCGTAAAAAAGAATTTGATTGTTTTATGGCCCTATTTAGCTATTGGATCCCCCGCCCCCAGGCCAAGTTATCAAAACAAATAGCAAATAACACCGCTCATTAGCGCTGAGTAGTACGTACTTCCTAAAAAACAATAGTGTTTTCCTAATACAACGCTTATGTCAATGTTTATTCTGTTTGCGGAGTAGATGTCATCAAAGTGGAAGTCCTCGCCCAAGCAATGGTAATACTGTCGGATGTCCATTTTGTAATTTCTAGTTTTTGGATGACATATTGTTCTCAGTAACCGTAACCGTAACTCTAAGATAAACAATAATGACTTCCTTGACTTTGTGTGTGAGCAGAATATCATCTGTTTAACCGAAACGTGGGCAAAATGTTTAGATGACTTCAAGTTTGTTTTTCCTAATTTCATTTCATTTCAGTCAGTTCGACCTAAAGAGAAGAAGGCAGGTCGATACAGTGGAGGTGTCGCGGTATATATTAGTGATAAACTTTCATCGTATTTTTCAAGGATACATGACGAATGGGTTGACTGTGTTTTTGTTGTATCTAATGATGTACTCATTACTGGTAGAAGGCTAATAGTGGGATGTGTGTACTTGAAACCTGAAACATTGGGCTATAATGAGGGTATTGAAGTTTTAGAAAATTTTCTTGCAGTGCTCATGGACGAAATCCCGGAAAGTGACTACATCTTGTGTGGTGATTTTAATAGTAGAACTGGAAGCGAATTAGATTATATTGATTTTGATGCAGTTGATCATCTACCGATGGATGATATTGTGTACGATCAGTATGACAGCCCTGCAGGGCGAAAGAACAAGGACCAAGTCGTTAACAATTATGGGAAAGATTTCTTAGACGTTTGTAAGACGTTTGGTTTATATTTACTAAATGGCAGGTTTTCTGATGAAGGGGATTATACCTATGTTGGAGCAACAGGTGTTAGCTCACCAGATTATATTTGTGTATCAGCATCCTTTTACAAGTATGTAGAGGACTTTAAAGTTATAAGTCGCACTGAATCAGACCATCTTCCCATATTTGCTTCTTTTTCATCATTGTTTAATGTAGTAGACACTCTAGATCAGGATTACAGTGAACGTGAATAAGAGTGAAGACTATATGAATAATTTTGAAAGTGAATTAGTACAAGAAATGTTAAATGAATTTATAACCTGTGTGGAAATTGATGTTGATAAAGCCGCAGAGAAGTTACAGCACATAATACAATATTGTGGAAGGAATATGAAAGTAAAGAGGTCCAAATATATAGGCTTTAAGAAACAACCAGAATGGTTTGATGAAGAGTGTGAACACTTGGAGAGGGAAAAGTATAAACTCTTGAATACATTCAGAAAGGTGTCTTCTTCGGAAAACTATAACTTATACAAGAACATTAGAAACAAATGTAAATCTTTATGTAAACAAAAACAGACTCATTTTAAGCAGAGCATTACAAAGGCATTAGTTAA